GAGCTCCCTCACCGCCGGCGCAGGCCGTACTGGGCCAGCTGCCTGCTGTGGCCCCCTTTATAGCCCCCCCCCATTGTGACGCGTCCCCCGTGGTGTCCCAGGGGCCGGAGCGCATCACAGGCACCACCGGCAACGGGCAGAGCCCTTGGGCCCCAACCCGGCTCGGCCAGAGCCTGGGATGGGGAATGCAACTGCGTTTGAAGAAGATTTCATAGAATGATAGAATGGTTGGGGTTGGAAGGGACCTCCAAGATCATGGAGTTCCAACCCCCCTGCCAACTCCTGGCAAAGAGTCCTTCTCCAGCTCTCTTGTAGCTCCCTCCAGATATTGATAGGCTGTTATAAGGTCTCCCCGGAGCCTTCTCTTCTCCAGGCTGAAGGTATTTCATGCAGGTATTGCAGAAACAAGGGTGTGCAGGTGGACCCCTGCGGGAGAAAAGTCAATTGTCTCCCCCCCTGGAGAAGATGCTCTGGCCTGTGGAGGTTTCTGGGGGAGGGCAGAGTTTTGAACGATAAGCCTGATCCTCATTATGCCTTGTAGGGATGTCTCTCCCCTAAGAAGCCGAGGGGGACCTCAAAGATTTCCTGGGCTAGCAACTTGCCTCAAACCTGGTGCTGCTGTGGTGCGAAGTGGCATTTGAGGTGATTTTTCTGGATTTTTCAAGTATCGAAACAACAGCAAAAAAAACCCCCAACCTGCACTTTAATTTAGTGATGGTGGTGAAGTCCCTCTACTGGGGGAGGGCAGAGTTTTGAACGATAAGCCTGATCCTCATTATGCCTTGTAGGGATGTCTCTCCCCTAAGAAGCCGAGGGGGACCTCAAAGATTTCCTGGGCTAGCAACTTGCCTCAAACCTGGTGCTGCTGTGGTGCGAAGTGGCATTTGAGGTGATTTTTCTGGATTTTTCAAGTATCAAAACAACAGCAAAAATAAAAACCTAACCTGCACCTTAATTTAGTGATGGTGGTGAAGTCCCTCTAAATACAGGTATGCTCGAGCCTCCATAACTCTACCCATTGTTTAATCTCATCATTTCCCACCATGCTTTTCTGTGTGGAGGTTCAAAGGTCCTTCCGGGAACAAGCAATTCTCCATGTTCTCTGAAAGCTCCCAAAATCAGGAGGGGTCAATGGAGAAGACCATGTTATGACCCCTCCACATGGTGTCCACGTGAAGTTCAGCCTCCAGTAGCTCAAGAGCCGCCATCAACAGGGCATCCCCCACGCAGAGAGGGTGGGCTTTGGACACCCTGGAAGGGACCACCTCAAACAGCCAGATGGTGTTTGTCCTCAGAGTAAACTTTCAGCAGGCAGGCACGTAGGTATTGGGGTAAATAACGTAACATCATTAAAAGGAGGATTTGGAGCATGAGTGAGAACTAGAAAATGTCCAATTTTAAGGCTAAATGGGCAAATAGGCATTTAGTAAACCAACAAGCAGAATTATTGATACTGAATTTTTATGATTTCTTTGATATTTCTCTAAATAAGTTCAATTTAAAATTATTTTTTGACCTTAGCTTTGACTTTCCCGAATACCTGTTCTGGGTGGACCTGCTCTGGCAGAGGATTGGACTGGATGATCTCCACAGGTCCCTTCCAACCCCTAAAATTCTGGGATTCTGTGAATTTCCAAGAGCCCCATTGGTTCCAAACGAGCTGTAACGAGGCAGTTACGTGTCTTAGCAAAACTTCCACTCCCCTCGAACACAAGAGTGAGGGGATTTAGGTGCCAGGGGAGTTGAATGAGGATGAGTCCTTCTTTCCACAACTCTCCTGAAAAACGATGACATTCAGCAAATGTATACAAGCTCATTTAGGTAAGAAAAGAATGAGATTAATTAGGCTGTGTGCGGGTGACAAGCCACACCAGGTGAACTTCCCTGTGTCAGCACTCTCAACAACCGGTGTAAGCTCTTCGGCCCACTGCTCTTTAATTGTCACTTTTCCTACATTCCAGATTAATGACAATTTTCCAGCGTCAATAGGAGAGTTCTCCTGAAAGATTAATGAAAATTGCACCCAAAGAACCCTCAGGCTGGGTCTCGGTTTCTCAACTGGGCTTGAGCGCGGCATTTTTGGGGCCGTTGTGTCTTCTCTGTTTCCTTCCCTCTCCAGCCACCCAACTCCAGAGAATTCAAATTCTCTTCAACTGTGGGTGGAAACAGTCATTCCTGATGTTGTTAAAACCAGCAAAATAGTCTTAACTTTTAAAAGAGGTATATTACCATCAGCTTTAGGTAGTCAGAAGCACTGTTTTTCAATATTTCTAATTATTTTTTGAGCCATTGGATCATAGTCTCCAAGCACCCGGTTCACAGACGCCTGTGTGGGTCGGTGTTACTGGAGACCTGCACTCCCCAGCTCATAATTTTTTAAAAGAAGGGATTTTGCCTAAATACTGCCTAAAATATGCTACTTTTATAGTATCTGTGGATATCCTGACTTAAAGCAACTACTTAGATAACTTATTTTTTTCCCCTCAGAGATTTCAAGTTTGGTTGATAAATTAGGTGTGTTTTCACTATCTTTACCTGCATATGAGAGCAGAGATGAGTATTTTCCAAAAAGTGCAATTTTTAGAGCTGTTCTCCTACAGAAACATAATTTAATATCCTGGAAAATACAATGATAAATTTATGAACTTGTAAGGACACTTACATATTGCAGTTTGGTGATTGTAATTATTTAATGTGCACTTAACAGGTTTAAAAAAAAAAAAAAAAGGAATTTCCCCTCATAGATTTCAAGTTTGGTTGATAAATTAGGTGTGTTTTCACTGTCTTTACCTGTGTATGAGAGCAGAGATGAGTATTTTCCAAAGTGCAATTTTTAGAGCTGTTCTACAGAAATATAATTTCATATCCTGGAAAATACGATGATAAATTTATGGACTTGTAAGGACACTTACATATTGCAGTTTGGTGATTGTAATTATTTAATGTGCACTTAACAGGTTAAAAAAAAAAAAAAAGGCATTATCTGGCATATTTTAAACAGTGTGTGTTGGGGAATAACCACTGAGCGTGGAGCGTTCCTCGTGGTGTTCCCTCGGGACTTGCATTGAGATTGGGACATTTCTCCAATAGTAAATACATTTACATTTTACATTTTCTATAGTGTGACATCTGCAGGTGGCACAGGAGGAGATGAAATGACCCCTCCTACAGATGGGTCTGGTTCAGTCACAGATTCATGGGATGGTTTGGGTGGGAAGGGACCTTCAAGCCCCCCCAGTGCCACCCCCTGCCCTGGGCAGGGACACCTCCCACCACACCAGGCTGCTCCAAGCCCCCTCCAACCTGCCCTTGAACCCCTCCAGGGATGGGGCAGCCACAGCTTCTCGGGGCAACCTGGGCCAGGCTCTCACCACCCTCACACCAAACAAGTTCTTCCCCACAGCTCAGCTCCATCTCCCCTCTTGCAGGGTCAAACTCACTAACTTGGATCCCCATTTAAGAAAAATGCATTTTCATGCAGCCAGTGCAAGTTCAATGTAGGACGACACCATGAAGGCTGCACTTGCCCAACAAGAAACTGGAGGTGGGTTCCTCCAAATTTGGTGCAAAGGGAAAAATGCCCAGCGTGGTCCTCGAACGAAGGGGAGAAGGTTCAACCTGTCCCTGCAGAGGGCATTTGTGATGCTGCCCTTCTGCCTTCCAGCACTTCAGCATCACTCGGGATGGCAGAATGTGAAGGAAAGAGCTTCAGGACTATTTAGATAGTTTAAAGGGAGCTCAAGCTCTGAGGTTTGAACCCCCATCTCTGTTATAACAAATTTAAAATTAAATGTAAAATAAATTTAAAATTAAAATTAATTAAATTAAAATTAAATTGAAGCCACAGGAATATTTGAAGGAATAATGAAGACGGGCTGAGGGAGCTGGGGTTGTTCAGCCTGGAGAAGAGAAGGCTCTGGGGAGACCTTATAGCGGCCTTTCAATACCTGAAGGGTGCCTGGAGAAGAGCTGGAGAAGGACTCTTTGCCAGGAAGTGTAGTGATAGGACAAGGGGCAACGGTTTTAAATTGGGAGAAAAAAGATTCAGATTAGATCTCAGGAAGAAATTTTTTACTCTGAGGGTGGTGAGACACTGGAACAGGTTGCCCAGGGAAGGTGTGGGTGCCCCATCCCTGGAGGGGTTCAAGGCCAGGCTGGATGGGGCTTTGAGCAACCTGCTCTAGTGGGAGGTGTCCCTGCCCAGGGCAGGGGGGTTGGAACTCCATGATCTTGGAGGTCCCTTCCAACCCAAACCATTCTATCATTCTATGATTTAAATTTTATGAGCTAACCTCTGCTCCTAAAGAAAATAAAAGAAATCAAGAGCAAAACTCCCGAGCCCAGCCTCCTACTGCACTGGCAGCAGTGATTTATTTGCCAGCGAGTGTGACCGTTTCAAAATCAGGAAACACTGTAAAAATGCCTCACAAATATCATGGAGGTTTTTGCACGTCGACGGCCGCGCTCCCTCTCTCGAAACGCCAGCAGCATGAAACTGAGAGTACAGTACAGTACAGAGAAAACACAACACTGAAATTCAGCCAAACTTGGCAACTTTTTTTTTTTGGTGACTTTTTAAGCTTGATCCCTGCCTGCTGAAGGTGGAGAACAACAAAGAACATTTATGGCCTGGGGGAAACAGGGTGGACGGAGGATGAAGATGTGCCTTGGTGCCTGTGAAGGGTGAGAAATGTGGGTGTAGAGAGAAAAAAGGGGGCACGGGGCTGGTCGGGTGGTTTTGTTTGCTCCTTTAACTGAGGCAAGAAGTGGGAAGTAGCCCACATACCAAGAGGGATTTTTACAAAGCAGACAGTTTAATCACTTAATAGATCTCACTTTATTGCAATCGTGATTTAACAGGAAAGTTTTGCTTCTCTGAAGGAGAACAGGTACTCTCTAATAAATCAGATGAAGCACATAATTTTATGTTAAATACGACTGAGATATACTTAAGATTTTTTAAGGATAGGGAGTTTGCAAACTTGAGTACAGATAGAACTGAATATGTATAAAACTGAACTCTGTTAAGAGCATAACTGGGAAATAACAGGAAAATTTTCAACGCGTGATCCTTACTTAAACCGAGAGAACATTAGAAAGAACAAAATTGTGTCACCATATAATTAAAGACTGACGATGCGCACAGACAATATTTAAGTTGGGGCTACATGTGGAATATTAATTCAGACATTTGCTAACTTTTGAATGTTTCACTTTGCAATGTTAATAATATTCATTTAGCACATTACTTTTCTTTATCGTATCTTGGAGAGATGTACTTTAAATTAGTTTAAATGCAGGACTTACAAATGATTGATGTGCTTTTTTTTCCTGTCTAAATGACATAATAGCAAATAATTGCAGGAATACCTAGGATATGTAAGCAGAACCACTCTCTTTATCAGACCAAAATAATGCTTTTCCTGCTTTCATTTCAGTCACTAATGTATTATATTAGGAGCAGAATTATTCTTCTGTGGTTCTCTAAGTCCCAATTATTATAAATTTCCATTTACCTATCAAATTAATGACTAAAGAAAATGTCAATATTGCCAACTTAAATGTGTATTTTGTATTCTTTAGAAAGCATGTACGTAGCGTCTCTTTCACCACACCTTGCAACAGGGAAGATTGATGTTTATTAGTCCATCTCATACAGGATAAAGGTTTTTTTTCTTACTACAGAAAAATCAAAAGTGCACAAACAGAAGCAAACCTGATACGCGCCAGCCCTTTATTCTACCAGAGCAGGCCATTCTGCATGCATGTATAACAATAATAATCAGCCATTAATAAACACCGAGCATTTGTAACACAGGTCTGGTTCCAAGACCAACTCAGTCTGAGCATCTTCAGTGGATTAATTGCTATGAGATCATATATCTCAGCTGCAGAAAGGCTAAATGGAAGTTTTAATGTGTTGCAAGCCAGCTGCATCAACGTAACTTATTCCCTCTAGTCAAGCAACATCAATTTCAGCAGCAGCTATTATCCCCACCCTTTCTTTTAGGGTTCTTTTTTTTTTTTTTTAATATTATAAATTGCTATTACAGAAGAATTGGAAACACTGCTAATTAGTACCTTCCTTTTGAAGGCTAAGATTTTAAATTATTCTTGATGTACTACTGAAACTATTAGAAAAAAAAAAAATAAATCAGGTATCCCCAGTAAAGCAGCACTTCCTTCTTATTCTTAAGGAATAAGCTTCCCTTAAAAATGCATTTCTTCCAGGCCCCAGTCTGAAATGACTTTGGCACTGGAATTCTACAAAGATGCAAGGCAAGAACAGCAGTTGTTGCTATATAAATGTGCAATAAAAGCTCTTCAAAACATCTAACTTTTAAGCATCCCCAGCCCTGTGCAGCACAATTCTGTAGTTCAGCTGCCTCACCAGCCTCGATACCTCTAAAGAACAGCACAGGATTTTCCCTTTTTCTTAATTAATTAAAAGGCCCATCTGATAGAATACGTAGCAGACAATCCTAAATTAGGTTAGAGGATTAGTTTAGAGGATTTATCATGTGTAGTTTGCATGTATTCACAGAATGGAGAACAAAATTCTCATATTAAATGGGGTGTAATTTTTAAGGAGATCCATACTTAGTGTCAGAATCTGATGCCCAGTACATACTTAAAACTGCCTTGTCTAATCCTTTGTAAATTCCCCTGCCAACAGAACTAGATTTGTGCCACTGCTTCCACCGGCATCTTTAGTTGAGGGAATCCCAGGAGTGCTACCAGATCATTTTATACTCTGCTGCTGTAATGGGTTTACCAAAACACCCCAAGCCAAGGGGAGTCAGCGCAGAGCCCAGGACACCCCAAGTTCAGCCCAGGGTGGGTTTGGCCCCTTCCAGCATCACTGGCCTGGGAACAGCACGGTGACTTCACCATTTTAAGGCTCTAATGGGTGGTACCCACTGGGGTTCTGCAAACCACCCCTTCTGCAAATCTGGGCCATCCGTCCTCAACTCAGTCACCGCAGAAACGGATGTGACGCGTTTTTGTGTGTGTGCAATAAAGATCTCCAGGACAGCAAACACAAAGTTTAATTTGGTGCAAAGGATACAACACCCCTCTGAGGTGGTGAGAGGTGTCCAGGTCTATCAGACCACCAAAAGGCACTGGTATTGGAAAAAACATTGCCTTAAACACACTGTTTTTTAAGCGCACTGCATCAAGGCATCTGACTTCCAGGTTCTGGCAGAGGAAAGTATTAACAACATGGGAGATAATAATGTGTAGGGCTGTGAAATTTGTAATTCTTTGGTTAGCAGAAAAAAAGTTAGCCCAATGCCAAGGGCTGTCAAGATTCAACCAATGGGGCTTGTTTGGAAGCTAACTGCTACAAAGATTTAAGTAAAGAGCCGATATGCCTCGACCATAGTTTCCAGAGTTGCTAATAAAGCATTCATCTGTTCTCCGGGGAAAAACAACATGTTTGCAGATATTTCTTCAAGAAACTCTGGTAGCTTTTGAAAAGTTTCTAGCTCTTTAAAATATGTATCTACTAACCAATCTGCAGAAAATCTATTTTTCATCCTACAGTTATCACAAGCCATTACTGGAAGTGCATTTGAACAAGCTACCTCTCTGAGAGTTAAAGTAAAGGGTGAAGACAGATTATAAACCGAACAGAAATTCAGCAGCATCTTATTAAATAAAATCAACCACAGTTCTCCCTGCTGACTGCAAAAATCTTGTTCTGTGCGTTCACAGAAGCTGTCAATGTTCTCTTCTGGATGAACAACATTCAGGAGTTCTTGCTTTACAGCTTCGGACTCAACATAATCCAGTGGCAGTTCTCCATTGGAGTCCCTCTGCTGTAGAAGGACTGGTCCTGCAGGGAAAATATAAACATTAATAATAACAGCACATTCAACTTGGCAGCCGAACAAGATCTGAGTTTGGTTTTTGCCAGAAGCTAGTACTCTGTTTAAATTCCTTCTTCTACTAAGTTATGCTGATGTAACTGATGAGTTACACATTTGCAGTATAATCTAGAACATGCAGAATGACCCTTTGCAACAGTTTCTTTTAGGATATTGTCTTAATTTTCTTCCCAGTTTTGCTAGGCTGAAAACCAAGCATTATTATACAGAAATGAAAAAGAAATTTACATGTTGCTTATCCCAAAATATCAAATAAAAATGTAATGTTACTATTGTTGTAAAATTCCATTAAGTATTTTATTGACCAGCTTATTTGCCGACACTGACTCTAAGTTGTAGGTGTGTTACTATGATGGTCTTTATTTTACTTTAGTGGATGATGTGCTCAACCTTGTCCTAGGCTAAGCAACAATGTAAATTATTGAGGCAGGAATCCCAGTCTCCCCAAACAACAGAGTTTCAAAATCTGGTCTTAACAGACTTCTGAAATGCAAAAAGCAATGACTCTAGTAAATAGCTTTAAAGTAAGTAAATGGAACATATTTTACCTGTTCAGATTATACTACATTCTTTCGGCATTTCCTGTTTATTAGTACAATGGAGCTATTAATAATTAAACAGTTTACAGACATCTTGATGAGCTTAAGAAAGGCTGTACCAGTAAGGAAAACCAAGGGCAGTTAACACACTACAGGTGTGTTTCTCAAAGACAAACACCACCAGGAATCTTCTTACATAAACTGGGGTTACTAGGCTAAAGTAACGATGACAACTGGATGATAAATGATGATAAATTTGAACTGGAATACATTTTCAGAAATATATTTTAATTGCAAAAGGTACTTCACCAGGTTACATACCCATACTGGGTATGTAACTGGTATGTAAACCCCCATACTGGAGGTTTTGACTTTGCTGTGGTTAAGGCTGTATTGTTTTACTCCATCAATGATTACATATGTATATATATTATACACATATTATGGTTATATTATGTATATAGCATGCATATACATAATCATTGATGGAGTAAAACACTACATAGACTATATGCATATATAAATGTATGTCTATGACATGTGTATTTACATATACATACATATATATACGCATATGCATATTATGTATAATTAACTCTTGCAAGCTGAAGGTTTTTAGAGCCAGAAAGCAGGAAAAGTTTTTGCAGAGGTGTGTTGTAAATTACTGAGCTGAGCAGATCCTCACCGAGGGGACAACAGGCACAGCCCTGTCAGCTGTCTGACAGGCCAAAACGCAGCCGGTGACAACGGCAAAGATAAGGGCACACACGGCCCTGGAGTTGCCAGAAAAAGCCTTGATGAATGCAAGTGTGAGGCGAGCTCTTCCCCATGGACACGGGGATCATCCACCACCTCTTCTTCAGGGAAGCGGAGGAGAAACACGCATCTGTCAGCCCCGTGCCCTTTCTGATGGAGGAGCTGGGCTCCACCGCTGTGTGGGATGGTGCATCACCTGGAGATGTGGGATGGAGCCCAGGTTTTGGCTTGGCACGTCAAGGACAGGGCTCAGGAGGTGCATAAAACACCTGGGAGCCACCACAGAGCTGGGGCTGGGCAGAGACAGGAGGCAGAAGGCAGAGGAAGGTATTGATTACCAGCCGGCGCTCGCACAACAGACTCAGAAATAGCCTTTAGGGGGCAGGAGAAGACTGTAAATAGGGAGGTCACACCGAAGGATGAAATGAAACGTTGTTTCTCTACCTTAATTAAGTAATAGGCCATCTAAATACGGCGCATTCTTCTGCCTCGTGGCTACAGGCAGAACGATCCTGACTGCAAAAAAAAAAAATCTGGACTCGGCGCATAACGCACAGAGATTAAACTGACAGAGTGGGTGGATGGTAGGGATGTCACAAACACTCGTTCCAATAAACGAATTAAAAGGAGGAAGAGTTGATATTCAAGACCCTTCTTCGCACCTGATTTTTTTTTTTTTTTTAAAAATGCTAAGTTAATTATATTGATACAGTATATTTCAAGGCAAGATACAAGTTCCCTGTCACCGAACAAAAAATGTTGTTCAAAACATTTATCATGTGTCTGCCTAAGGGGCAATGTATTTTTTTTTTTAGAAACTAAGGCATCCCTCCCACTACTATCCCTAAACAGCAGTTATCGCAATTACAATATAGATTCCTTTCTTAAACTAATTACCAAGCTAATTGTGTTCTTCAAAGACGATCACATTAATTTTCATAAATGCTGAACAAATTTATGTTGAAATACATGATTATATAGAGATTTACCGATCTATTTTTGCATTGTGGTAAAAATAAATCAAAACAAAAGAAAAATCCTTAGCTTTGCTTGGTGACTAGGTAATCTTTATCTCCATTAATGAGTTTGGAGAATACAGTTACAATGCATATGGTGTAAAATGCAGAATAAAAACATTACCATATTGGAAAAAAATGTGAAAATCCTGGTTAATTTCATATTCAGCTGATCAAGATAAGTGTGAAAACAGTATTATTTTTATTGTGACCAAAACAGCTTGGCTTAAAAATGTTTTAAAATAAATATTTCATAATAACATTGTATTTCGAGCAACGATTAAGGAAAAAAAAACAACAAAAAAAACCCCCAAAAAAACCCCACACCACGAACTTCATAAGGAAGTCGGAGCAGCAGCTGATTTCCCTAAGCCCATTTAGCATAAAGGCACTCACCCCCGTGCTGAAGGAGCAGCTTGCCAATTTCTACGTGTCCGTTTGACAGTGCATCATGCAAAGGAGTCACCCCGTCCACTTGACTGAGCAGGTCTACCTCTGGACAACGCTGCAAAATTTCACGGACACACACTGTGCTGCCATGGTTACAGGCTTCATGCAAAGGCGTCCAGCCAGCATAGTCTGAATTATAAATCAAGGGGAAGTTTTTAAAACAGCAGAAGTAGCACTAAAATGTTAATAACGTAATTTATTAAGACGGCAGAACGCTTCACTCTTCCGCACTCATCCTGGCTGCGGTGGGCAGCCTGTGATTTCAAAACAACAAATTCTACTGAAAAACATCTGAAACAAAATTATATAGTGTTTTTAAAAATCAATATTGTGATTTTAAAATGCATTTAAATGTGATTTTAAAATGCATTTTAGCTATAAATTAACCTTTCCTCAATTTTTGGTAAAACATTCCTCATTCTGTGTTGTTTAAAATAATAAAGACAGTTTTAATAGCATAAATACAAACTTTATTACACACATATATTAATACAGTTCTTTATCTGGCTTAATTTTTTAGTTCTGTAGAGAAATTGAATAACTTACCTTTAACATTAATGTCTATTCCAGGGGAAGAGAGAAGCTGAATCAATCTCTCCACTTTGTTTCTTATGCAAGCTCTATGCAGGGCTGTCTCTCCTACCATAAAAAATTAATAGATTACACTAGACTAGGCAAGATAGCAACTAAAGAAAATAATCAAAGTGCCTGGAACTAGGAGACCTGGCTATACGCCAGAAAATTCAATAATGAGTAAGATTTTCCTTTCTCCTGTTTAACCATCTTTTAAGAAAATTCAAAAAAAACCCACAGAGCTTCTGTTCCACCAGAGATCCAGCAATGAAATTGTATTGCAAACGGTTTAACACAGGAATTATCTCCCCCCAGTTCAAGGTTTAAAGCTTCAATCACACCATAAAAGCACCAAGTGATCACAGAACACCAAAAATACTGGGTTTTGAAGCAATAAAACTTTAGAGTGCAGTTGCCCTCCCTTAAATTTATTCATGAACCTACGTTAAAATGTATGGTTCTTTTTACACAGCATTTATAGCTTAATTCAAATGAATGTTTCTGGCTAAGCACGAGTGCCTCTACACACTCAAGTATAATTCAGAACTTCAAATCCGTTAACAGATGGTTTGCTGTTTCTCAATAGGCTGCCTGACTTGGCTACAGTAGCAAGGGAGGGGGGAAAGACAGAGAAATAAATGAAGGGGTCATAATAATAATATTAATAATAATAATAATAATAATAATGATGATGATGAAAATCCTGTGGGGAAAAAAAAAACACCTAAGCCTTAGTACCACGTAAAGCTGTAGTAAGTGTGAAAAACTGAACAGCCAGCAGCTGAGAACTGCTGCTTGCATGTAGAGACACCACTAGTTTCTGCATGATAAAAACTTCAGACCCATGCTAAATGCTGTTTCACTTTCACTAAATGATTAGGTTTGAACAAGAGCCAGAGGAAAATCTTGACGCCAGGTGAAAGACGACGCAACAAACATCTTAGAAAAAATGAAAAATATCTGGGGCTAAATCTCTCAGCCCTCACGATAAGATTTACATGGTATATTTTGTTACATTAATACCTTCACTATGTAAATCTGTCAGCTCCACACTCATTCTTTCAACAGAAGATACTACTTGCAGTTTTGGCAAAGGAAGAATAGAAAAAAAAAAAGCAGTTGGTTTGGGTTTTTTTTTTTCACCCTAGTCCTTCAGCTCACTTTTCTTTGTAGAAGTCAGCATGTAATAATTCACATCAATTTTACTTGCAAAAGCAATAGAGAGAAAGGGAACCAATTTTAAAAATGCATGGTCTGGCTCTGTTACTGAAGCTCTCTTAAATCCCAAAAGAGGGTGAGGGGCTTTTCTTGTCCTTCAGTGTTTGTGATACAATTCTGGTTTTAATTTTTTGAACAATCCCAGCTTGCTTTTCCCAGTTTTTTTCTAAGCCTTCTCTTGGGCATCATGATTAATATAGCTGCGTTTGAAGCGTTATAGGCAAATTTCTGATGATGAAGATGACAAAAAGTAGTCCCAGCAAGTAATTCTGTTCAGGTAAAGGCTCATGTAAAGTATGATTTATTAAATTTGCGTAGTAAGTAGGGACTGAATGAATTACTGCAGCGCTGTTTTATTCCTTAGGTACTTGGGTTCCAGTATAGCTAAGACAAAAGCCAAATGCCTTTCATAGTCTGGGCTGAATGCCTGGAAGAAAACAGTCCATATGCTTAACACAGCTATGTAACATAGCATACTCCTCGGTCTTTGTTCACAAAATGTCTAGGACTGAAAAGAGATGAAGACTGAATTATACTTTCAAATCAGAAGACGTTGATCCTACCAAGCACAGGTTGAGGTGGATTAGCAAAGTAAGGCGGGCAAGACTGGAATGAGCTCACACAAGCTGTACACTGTGTTTAATATCTGGGAGGGGGAGGGGAAGGCAGCTTTACCCCACCATATATACAGCTCCTCCTTTTAAACAGACATTGGGGAAAAAAAAAAGAAAGATGAACCTAAGAAAATAATTATTGGGCATAAGCCCAATAGTTCAGCATTCATCAGGACAAGATTTTAAAACCTGAAACTGCCGATTCTAACCATATAAAGTTTTTAACATAAATTAATAGCATACCTTTAAGATTTCTCTTGTAAAAATGTACCTCTTCGGCCAAAACGTAGCAGTTCTCTTTGGTGTATGAAGCCTCAACTTCTGGTTGTGTTCTAAGCTTCTTTGTCAAAGTAGGGCACTTATTAAAGATTAAGTCACTGAAAGCAGAGCAAAGTGGGCACATCTAAAATCATTGTTTTATATTTTAAGATAATGTATATATACTTCATGCTTTTAAATGTGTACATATAGCATACTTAGATCTATCCATTTCAGAGGTATTTCTGAAATGTCTTAACTACGTAATTTTTATGTCATTTAAGTATAACTGTATTTAAAACAGTAATAAAATTAAATTACCCACAATTAAACTTTGCTTAAAGGTAATTCTGCGAACAGTTCAACTTGTATATGTACACTTTAAATTTAACACTGGGAAAATACAAGCACATCAGTCTGCGTATACACTGAGATGGGGGTTGAGGAGAAAAAGGGGGAACCCCAGGCCAGAGGTGTTACAGGTTTACAATGGAGCTTTCTGTCAGCCCCAGTAATTTGCAGACAACAAAACAGGTCACATAAAGTTCAAGAAACGTGTCAGGTCAGAAGCTGTCCCCCCCAGCAGAATAAAACTGGTGATGTTATAGGTATTACTTACGGTAGATCAGGCAGCACTTTGACTTGGTTCTGCTTATCACCATATAGCATCTGTAATGCCCTCTGAGACTCAGGGCACGGCCGTTGCCCTATTTTCGTTTTCTTTGCTTTCTGCATCCTCCTGGTCTCCTGCATCCCCACCTCTCGCAAAGCAGGCAAATAGCAACAGACCTGTTGCAAAAACAACATTTTCAGTGACTCCGTAGACAGTAAATTAAAACGCGGGGATTTTCTTCCGCCGCACTTCATGCCAGGCAGTCACCCCCCACTCACAGCTTGCTGCATCGAAGTTTTAAAAAATATGATCCCTAAATGATTGCACATACAGATAAAGTTGTCTTCTGCAATCTTTTTTATATTCTTGTAATTCACTCTTCATGCTGGCCTCAGAGGTGAGTGGGCTGTGTCTGAGCCAGAAAGTGCAAAATTCTAGACCTCTCTCTTGGTTTTTTAGTAGCTGAGGAAATTCTGATTACTTTAGCTGGAAAGTAAAGCTAATTGATTCTTGGCTGCTTAAAGTATTTACAAGCTTCTCACTCCCAACTCAGGGAGCAATTTGGTAAAGAAATACTCACTCCCCTCCTTCATCTCTCCTAAGATGAGGGGCTGGATTAAGCCCTTGAGCATTGCAGGGGCAATAAGCCAGTTATCTCTTAGATGATCTCTCTTTATTACGGTAGTTTTGGACATTGTTGAAATTTTTGTTTCCTTCCAGGAGCTTCCAACCCACCTATACCCTCACTTTAAAAAGTCGTGTAAGTTTCTGCAGTTTGGTAAAGCACAGGAAAAACCCCTAGTGATGGAAGTCACCCATGGGTTACACAATGGTTGTATCTGAATAAAGATATTAAAGACAGTTTTGAGTATCTATCAGATCACTGTACATTCTGCAGAAAATTTGCAATGGGTGGGGGACACCTTATTTGCACCCTCACTGTACATTTACCACCAAAGAGTAGGAAGGCACTACTGGAACCAGTAGACAAGCCCAGCTGATAACATCCTGTATGAGAAAAGCTGGCAAAACTGGACAGTAATTAGTATTTACTCTGTGGAATGAGAAGAGAAGAACTACAATGCCAAGGAAAGCCACAAAAAGCACATGAACCTGTTTCAAGCACTACAAAAAATTTACATTTAAGTAGTTGCAGAGAGTGATCAGTAGTCATGGCAATACTAAAGATAGCAATTGCTGCTGCATATGTGTTGGCAACATATGTTAAATATTAGATATATAGTTGGTTTATTTTTAAAATTCTGACAGTCTTTTGTTCCAGCTCTGTTTAAATATGATGTATTAATAAACAATGATCTCGGTTCACAATAAACTCCTGTAAAATTCAAGAAAACTCATGTACGGAAAACGTGTAAAGGTAAAAATTTGTTTTTCTTTGACTGTCCCATGGAATTTTAGGCCATATAGAAAAAGATACGGATTCCATATTCTGGTTAGTCCTTAGTATTAAGATTACTGAAATGAGGCTGTAAGTTAGGGCACGTGATTCCTGCGTGATTTGCCTACATCCTGCCAGCAGTCATGGTTTTGAGAATTTCTTTCACAGCTTTCATCATGTATTTCTTCATCAACTATCACAATTTGTGATCTGAAGGCAGGAAAAGGTTTGCAAGTAGGAAAAAGTTTCTTACGAGGAGAAATTAACAGGAATACACTGTGGTTCAAAATAATGAGATCTTGTATGTAACAAATACTTGGACACTATAAAATAGTAGACTGTCACCTCTCGAAAAACCTTACGGAAAAGATATCCCAGGAAAATCACACTATATTGGACATTTTTCTTAATTAAAATTGAATACTGCAATAAAGTATATAAATCAGAGAATATTTTTAAAAGCTGTCACTGTGATTTTTCATGTTAACTGCATGTAAACAAATTAATCAGGTATCACAAATTCCCTGGTAAGAAAAATCTTCTTTAGAACCCAGATCTTGGGCAAAAAGACATTTAAATGTAGTAGAGTCTATCTACAGGTGGGAGACAATGCATCCAATGAGTATGACCTTAGGCCACAAAAGAAAGATATTTTCCAAGACTTCAATGAATCCAATTACTTGCAAAATGTCTACGTATGATAGGTTATTAAGGAGTAGAAGGTTGACTTACTATTTTCTGAAGAGAAAGAGGTTCTTTAGAAATAGCTATATTCCTCTGTAAACACATTTTTTTGAAAACTGCTTCTGCAACAAACATTTGAAGCCAACGGGATGGTATGGAAGAAATGAACATTTTCAATTCACTTATTGAAAAATCTGGATAAAGAGCAAAAGGAAAGAAAAGAGCCTTAAAATGAGAATACACAAACCTGTACACCTAGAGTTACCTATAAGATAACTCCTCCAGATATTTTTTTCCTGCTGTTACAGATTCATAAGTTATTCTCCATGAGAATTACTAAAAATACTCATATTAAAAAAGATTTTATCCATCATCTGATAATAAGACCAGCTTCTAATAAAATGGTCAGCAGATTTTAAAAGGCAAAGCACCATTTTTTATGTGAAACTTTTTTAAAATACCCTTTAAATACAATTTTATAAAATTGCGCCTTGAATTTGAAAATTAAATTATTTATTTGGGAAGTTATAGAAGTAATCATCTTTAAAATCTGTGACACAATAAAAACTCTATTCATATCTAAAATGTGTAATACATGAAACAAAGAAATGCGCAAGTAATGCAGGGTGACCGATAAATTCTATGTTATAGCAAATAGTTCATCCTGTTTGAAAAAAAAACCCAATACAGACAGTGGCAGAAGAATGTATATCTACCTCAATATATACAGGCATAGATCTGTCCTACCTCTCTTTTTTTTTTTTTCTATTTGTATTTTGATTCTAGCAAAATAGTTTTGTCAAAATAGCAACTGAAACCTCTGGAAAGCAAGGTCTGCCATGAGGAAGAAAGTCTTTACTCAGGGAATATTCTGTTCTGCTAAGAAGTGCTCATACATTAACTGATCTGTAGACTCAATCAAAACAGAAGCACAAGTTTTGAGAGTATAGATGTTTCCTGATCTAACAGTGATAGAATTCAGGTAAACTGTAACAGTTTTTGGGGCTTTAAGTGCTGCAGACTGAACCAAGCCACAGCGATCACCAACAGGTCAAAGACTCTTAACTCTTTATAACCAGATTGTGAATGCTTTTGGTGGAGGAGAGCACAGAAAGTATCACTTTCCACTTGTGTACAGGAAAGTAGGAAAGTGTCACAGAAATATATACCCAAGATTCTTCCTATTACATGAAAGCTAGAATATCTGTTGGAGAGGTGGCAATAGTGGTAGACACTAAAAGCTCCATTGATTTAAATATTATAAGGTTCCAATTGATTTGGTCTTCTAAAATCTAGGGGAGGCTATGATGGTTCTAGATAATTTGCTTTCTACAGGACTGGAGTGGAAACATTTATCTAGAGACTAAGATTTTAGTGTAATTTTTTCAGGATAGTCCTTTTCAAGTGTCCAGGTAGGAGATGGAAGCAACACCTTAAATGAGGCCTACATACACTATCTCTAGAGAAAATGGTGACTGAAATCAGGATAACCATACAGGTGTAACAAGTTAGTTACAGATTTCCTGCTATTTCCTAATTGGAAAAAAAAAAATATCTTTGGTGGGAACTGAGTTTGAAAATGAAATTATAAACATTCACTAGTTCTCCTGAGACTATTTTCTTTCATCTTTTGAGTTCCTTATCCCCTATTTCCTAAAAGGACAGATATCTCAAATGACATTTCATGTCAAATGACAATGGTTCATTTGAGTTGTGACATTTCTCTTTCTCTAGTATGCTTAATGAAGAGGAACAATACTGATTCATGAGACTAAGGAATTTTCCCCCATCCCCCAAATAAAGTCCATAAAATGTAAAGATTTTGAATGAGACACTGAAATGTTTCATTTGAAGTCCAAGAGTTCAGCGTAGCTTTTGGACTTAAGGCTGAAGTATCTTTAGCAAACAAAATCAAGGTTGTGGAGTGAAAAAATTCACCTGGGAACTGGCCTGAACTAAGGTGTCCCAATTGCTTCTCTGAGGTTATGGCTTGTTATGATATGCTTAAAGCTCTTCCTAAACTGACAAGGAAGCTCCAAAGATATTTTTTTAATTCTTCACACTGTGCAATTCTTGCTTTCACATTAATGTCTTCTTGGATTTCTTTAGAGGGATTTTAGTCAGAAAGCCTGTTCTGTTTGGTCTTTGCTTTGGACAGACAGACAGACACATGCACACAATAACACAGTTTCTCACAGCTGCATATGTACAGATGACACCACAAAGGCTGCAGAGCTGAAGCAAAAGGTGAAATACAACCTGAAAGTAAACTGGGGATTTTAGTTTGGACTTCAGTGTATCTGATTAGAAGACTTCGAGAGGCATTTCAAATACTCACCATCACAGGAAATGGCAATGTAGTGAGCCAAATCATCAGCTATTTGATGAAACATATTTCTGTTCATAAGCAAACTTGAGATGATCCAATACTCCACTACAGTTCCAAGAATTGCATTTAATAGACCAGCTATTTCACATGTGAAAGCCTAAATGAGGGGAGAAAAAAAAAAAATAAAGAGTAACTATAGACCTGTACTGTATAACAAATTCACACTGATAATGTACCAGAAATAACACTAGAGAACTTCTTCAGATAAAAGCCAACTCTGCTGCCTTATCAGTTCTTTGCTGGCTTTTCTTTTGCTGCTCAAAATCTAACTGTTGCAGCCAGGTCAACAAAATTAATATGCCATTGAAGCCACATCAGTTAAGACCTGTCATTGGAGAAATGCAAGTTATTTGAAAACGTACTGTCTAAAACCACATGCAAAATCAGATCAAAGCTTACAAGAACAAAGTGTGATTTCTTTATAAATTATGTTTTGTTTAACTGCAAGAGTTCAAGTTCTGCCTTTATGCTAGTTAACCTCGTGTTTCATTTGACTACTACAGGTATCTTATTCTCCCCATTCTGATTCTCTTTATCTAAAGATTTCATCATGAAATTAAAGCTCCTTTTGTGACTAACCATGTACATCTGCACCAAAAGGGGAAAGGATGCAAGGTGTTAGCTTCCTGCACAGAAAAATCTCTGGCAGACAATTTGTGGGATCAGAAAACTTTCTACTGCTAACAAAAATTCCAAAGACACTAGCAGCTGAAAATTTAGAAAGAACACACTTACGGGCGTTAACTTTAGCTTTTTCTTCTCCGAACCTGCACAAAACAGTCATGTGTGGATAAAAGAGCCACAGCATGTTGTCTTCAGGAAGCATCAAGTCAATATACAGTACTTTAACATTGCTACCCAGAAAGAACTGTGAGATAGACAAATTTATTTGTTCACCCACGTGAGCACTTCGCTCTATCAGTATTGGTGGTGCAAAGCACTGCTTCTAGTGTCTGAGTTAATCTGTGCAAAGGATCTCTCTACTCAACACCTTCCTGTGACATCTAGAAATATTTTATGCAACAACTCTGAAATAAGTGATTCCTGTGACCAAACGTACAACCGCAGAAAATTCAGTATTTGTCTGTGCAAAGTTCAGTATTTGTCTGGCCACTGTAGGACCACGTGAAATTCATTTTGCCCAAAGACACCTACCTAAGGCTGTAGTGGAGAATTGCTGGAGCACCAGACAATATATTGTATTCTAGTGAAAGAGAATGATACCCAAAATTGTCCATTTTGAAGTAAGAGGGAAATTGAACTGAGTATGTACATGCTTATTTGTCAGCTTGAGATTTTAAAGAATTACTTAGAGGAAGCAAAACTTTTCTGTCTTTTGTTGTGCTCCCACACCACAGTCAGTGTTTTGTCTGCTACTCCTTTGAGAATAAAATACGTTCAAGGTTGGTTTAAAATAGTTTGATAAGATTCCCTCAGGAGCTGGAAAACACCAAAGACTGAAACAGTTTGAGCTTCGTCAGTAAATCAGACGTATGTAAGAGCAACAGAGACTGTGACACCGATGAGATTTATTATAAAAAGATTACAAAGCAGTTTGTCAAAAACCTGCATAAATACTGTCCCTACAGTTAACAGACTTACTTGTCATTCAAAAGAAAAGGAATAAAAACAACTACAAATAAACATTGTGTGGGCAGGAACTATAATCCCCATCACTGAAGGCCTTTAAGAACTGGCCAGGGAGAGCCTGTTGGGAAGGCGATCTCTGAAATCGCTCCTAGCCCTGCTTCCTTTTACTCTGTTCAGCTCTACCTAATTTGGTTTGCTCCTTGCTTTAGTGTATCATATTATTTTATTGTAGAGGAATTGTAGGATCTCATAATTAAAAAAAAAACAAACACCACCAACAACTGAGAACATCGATATGCCATGTCAACAACATGAAAATAATTTTTTTTTCAACTAGAATTTAAATATTTAAAAAGCTACATTACTCCCCATCTTCTGAGGATTCAGGAATAGAAACTAAAGAAATAATTTAAAACATGTGAAATGAATTTAAATTTCCCTTAAGTATGCATACCTCTTTTATCATTGGACCCCAAAGCAAAATACTGGGTGAATAATTCAATTCCATCAATACTTCTTTGCAGGAAATAAATTACACAAATGCAGCAAACAAGCACAATTTTAACAGAGGTAAGTGACAGGATCGAGGACACGGGGATGTAATCTGAGGTAGGTGCAGATGTAGAGCACAAGTATTTACATTCTTTCATTTCTAAATCATGAGCTTGAAATACCTTCAAGGACAGAGGTGGGGAGTGAAAGCTGACCTTGAGGCAGCAGATTGAAATAATGACTGCTAATACTGCAAGTACTAATGAAGTTTGGCAGTCAGATATATAGCAGCATATTAAACGTGGCTGATACACTAGTTAAAACTACATTTGCTCAGCTAAATATCTCTGCAGACTGATAGAGACAAACCAGATCCTGCCAACTGGTGTAGGCTTGGTTGACATTTTGGTAAATCAAGAGTAGTACAAACCAAGAGCTTCTCCTTAATATTCTGAAATAAATGGTTCCATGTTACAAATGAGGGGGAAATGCTCTAATTTACTGAGAGTATCAGCTGTTCTAAAAATATTTAAATATTAACATCTTAAAAATATTTTCATTTTCAACCACAAAACAATACAAACATAGTAATGATAACACACGCAATATTAAAAAGTGAAAAGAAGCAAGCATTTCTATTTAAAATGGGAATTACTATCGTGTATGACGAAACATCATTGTGCACATAGATAGCTTCTGCTATCAAACCCAAGAGGATAAATCTTAAAAAGAAGTCTCTTCTACTGCTTTACAACTCTACTGCTGGTTCAAAGCTGCAGTTTTTCTGACACTTAGATGATATTTTTAATTACCAAACTAACATAACGGGAAAAATATCAGCAAAGAAAAAAAAGTTTCAGTAACCATATTTTTGGAATATAATAATATTCCACAGCTAATTGTTCTCTGTATATTAATCAGTGAAAAAGTAAATGCACAGGAGCCACCTGATGCTTTTGTAAACATAGGAAAGCAATATTCAGAACATTATATGGAAACTCTTATTCCTGGATACCAAAAAGCAAGTTACCCATGTAAATGACATTAATTGCTATTTTATTAACAAATGCAGTTTTGGATTAAGTTGGATTAAGTAAAAATACATTTAAATGAGAGGGTTTTTTTACACTGTCACTTAGATAACGGTGTGACTAGTGGTCACTGGAACATGAGCCTTCAATTTACAAAAATTGAGACTACTCAGAAACCAGTGATCTTGGTTCTATCAGTTACTAGTTTGATCTTTAATCAAATGTGAATCTGATTTAGTTCTAACAGTTTGTTTCTTTATAAACTGGCAAACGAGAACATGCTTTCTGTAGGTATACTGAAAACTATTCAAGTCTCTCCCTCTTCCCCATAAATATTTTTAAAATTCCTAAAAATAATGCACTACTACAAAATGTAATATTTCAAATTGTGCTGGAAAAATTCTTAATAGAACTGTAGTATTACTCTTCCTTATAAAACAAAGTGTACTGGGTCTGCCTGGGATGGAGAGTTTTCTTCCCAGCAGCCTGTGCCATGTTTTGAATCTGGGTTGATGACAAGGATGTTCTGGGGGTGCACAGGGAGCTGGGAGGGGACACAGCCAACCCAAAATGATGAAAGGGATATTCCCTGCCATATAAACACCACGCTCAGCAATAAGAGCTGGGGAGAGGAGGAGGAAGGTGGGGATGATCAAGGCTTATGGCCTTTGCCTTGCCAAGGAACTGCTATGCATGATGGAGCCCTGCTTTCAAGGACATAGCTGAACATCTGCCTGTTGATGGGAAGTGGTGAACAAATTCCTCATTTTGCTTTGCTTCTGCTTCACTTATTAAACCATCTTCACCTTGACCCATGAGTTTTCTAGTTTTTGCCCACACCATTCTCCCCCTCATCCCGCCGTAGGCTGGGTGAGGACTTACACATCAGCTGGGGTCAACCCGCTGCACCAGGCGCAGCAAATTAAGCAAGATCCAGTCAAACCCTTTTTTTCAAAACTCTCTTCCTCCTCCTTATTCTTGAGAATCAAAGCCATCTCACCGAGAAAGGCATTGAAGGGGGAAGAGGCTGTTGACTGCGTTAGCATACAAAGGTCACATCAGCACAACTGATGTCTGCCAGCTCTGCAAATGCAATTCCTACGCTGCCGTTCCATTTAATGCTTTGCCAAGTCAAGTGCAGTGCTGCGGTGACAAAAGTTTCACAGTGTGGCTTAGTACACATAAAAAGTTCTTACAGGAAAGCTTTTAAGTCACAGGAAAAATTCATTTTAACTTTTTTTTACTTTGAATTACAGAGTTATTTTAGAGTTCCTTTTCATGTGGTGTTAAAATGTTTGTAGCGTTATGCAGTATTCCAAAAGTGCCTAACACATACTCCCAAGTTAGTTATTGGAAGTGACAAACAGACCAGAAAGACATTTGGTTCTACAAATTTAGACCAAGCAGATTTATACCTGGTAATGATACCTGAAACATGAAAGAAAACAAGTACGAATTATGCAAGATGATGCAACAAAAAAAATAGAATTAATGCCTTTTTCACTCCTTTGTCATGCTATGCAAGACAGCTTTTTAAAACAAAAAACAAACAAACCAAACCACCAGGAGCATCAAGGATGAAAAGTGTTTCTGATACCATTTGTGACACTGTGAAAAGCCATGCAATAGCTCAGTGCTACTCAAAGTGATATAAGAAACACAGACGTTCCTTTGTAAATTCTAAAATTGAATGAACAGTTTTGAGTCAAGAAACCTTGAGCTGGAGTTTCTGCATCACACCTATTTAAATAATATAATAAATAATAAATCTTATTAATACTAAAATCATATTCAATATTGTTTTGAAGATCTCAAGTGATGGAAAAACTTCTACGTCCTTTGGCAGTGCATTTTTAACTAGTATCAGTTTTATTTCACCAGGTTGTCACAGCAGACTAACAGTGATGAGCGAGGGCATCCAATTCCCTGTCACTAATTTTATTCTGGTACTTTCAAAATAAAGCAAATTCTATCTAACACAAGAAAGAAAATGCATTCATATATGTAACTTAAGTCTTCATTTTTTCTTTTTCCTTTTTTTCTGATGTAGGTTTTAATAGGCCTGAAAAGTGAAATACCCTCCTGCTCTATATATAGAACATTATTTTGCAATAAATCAGCACTAGAAGAGAGTAAATATATACAGATATTTTTCCTCCACTCTAGTGCTGATTTGTTGCAATCTCTTTGAATCACAAAAAAAATGATAGTCAGACTAAAAAATCTAAAAAAAAAAAAAAAAAAAAAAAACCCCACTGCAGTAGGCTGGATGTCTTATTTTCTGGTCCTATAGGTCGTTCTATTATAAGGTCATTTAAAATAATAAGTAAAAAAAAGAAAATAATCCGCAGGCTGCCTGTAGGACAACTGTTATTAACTGAGCTTTTCTCAAACTCCTTTGAAAACCAAAAAAAAAAAAAGTCAAACAAAAAAAAACAAAAAAAAAAAAAAAAAAAAACATCACCCACTTTTACCACCTAGAAAAGAATGCATTAGATATGCCCCCCCAAAAAAATTAAACTAGTTGTCTGCTTTTCTTTACAGATATTTTCACTGGACAATTGCATGGAAGTTAGGTATATCACAATTAGCACATTTGTTTCTTCTTATGAGCTTGTGTAAGCCAGGAAACACACTGTGCTATAAAACACTTAATTTCTGTGCCTATGCGGGCAGTAAGAACACCCAAAGTCATTCTTTTGAGCATTCTTTCTTGAGCAAATAGCTTTTAAAAAACCAAGATTTTTAACAATGACTCCCACTCTTAAACCGAAGACAGGAAGGAAAATTTTGCACCCAATATGCTGTATTTAATGACATGGAAATACTGTGGTTTTATTTACGCATCTCCAAAATAATAAAAAAAAGGAGGAGGAAAGAAAATACAGATCTGCTTGCACCGTCGCGGAGGACCTGCTGCTTTGGCTTTCTTAGTGACCTTTTCAACTAGGTCATGGAATTTTAAATGGAGTCTCTGAACATACGGAAAAATCAGTACATCAGGTTTTAGTATAACAAAACTGAGAGCGCAGAAAGGGACAATAAGAAGTTTTGAATGTAAAAATATGGCATTTTGTTTTAGAGTTTATTTTTGCCAAAAAATGCAGAGGGAAAGAAAATGCAATATATAAATATGAAGTTAAAGAATAAGGCTGTAAGAAAGAACACACAGAACTACAGATATTATGAGGCAACAAGCTGCTTTTTAAGTCTAGAATTCATATCTGCAGGGATATTGTACGTTACAGTGCATAAGATCAAAGTAGGAAAGCAATAGGCATCTGAGTTTTGTGCTGAAAGTACAATTCTTATATAGATGTATCTAAAGAAAACAGACCCTAAACAAGAGGAAGGTCTCTATGTTTTATGTTAGGTTTTATTCTCTCTTTTAAGTTTATTTTTCATATATGTACTACCCTCCATCTGACACAAGCGATTATTCTGCTTATGCAAAGAATGCTTTATGAAAAAGGTATGGCTTACACTGCTGGAACTTGTCAAAAGAAGGCACAGCAGAAAAAAGAAAATGGTGTCTACCCTTAAACTGCAGATTCAACACCAGGAAACATATGAAAGCAGCCCCATTTTCCAAAGAAACCGAACGGCCACTGACACCAACTGAATGCGAGCCTGGTGCTCAGAACCTTTGAAAAGGTAGGTTGTTTAAATATAAATATAGGTATAGAAGCCTAATTTTAGGCACTTTTTTAATATCTTGACCAAGGATAAAAGGCAGCACTGTTTCAGAATGTCTTGCTTTGATAGCCCTCAAAAAAGGTAGGAGGTCTGGCTAGGTAAGATGAGTGAAGCTCTCATTATGTTTAATCTTTCTGCTTTCTTAACATAATGAAGAACTACTAGGTATTATATTGAAAGTGCTTTTTTCTCTGGAATACTTGATTTTCTATTGTTGTTCTGTTATTGTATTGAAAAAGTGAATGAAGTACCTATTTATTCTGTGCTTTCAACAATAATTTAAAAGAGAACGCAGAGACAGCAGTAAGTTTGTATTTTATGTGAGAATCTAGAAGTCAAAGATGTTTTACAAGGCCTCTATCTTCTGAAAAGAAAGAGGTGGTACAGAGCACACTCAGTATCTTTCAGGTCAGTGTCCTGCTGGTCAGCAGGTCACAGAACAGCAATTAAGTTGCCTTCAATTCCATTTTTATGAAAAGACCTAGGGAAGATACCAAATGAAACTAAAGGACTTGGGAAGAAAACTGGGGCATTTATTAAAATAAAATAACGTGTACCTGTAGAAAACAGCAAAAAAAACCCTATTAGTTTTGTTAACCACCTCCTTCCAACATTTCCCGAGTACAATCACTGTAAAATAAGACAATCACCTCTTTCATTACACCTTATTGTTTGAGAGGACGTGTTAAGCTGGTGTCCCTAATGACTACAGTAATACCTGCTGGTAAGGGCATGTGAACATCTGAATGTAGCCAACAAGCTACTCGTGACTCGTTTCTTCTCTGCAGATCAATATGAGAATCTTATGGATCAATTCATTTCCTTTAGTGGAGCAAAAACCAGCATGCTTCACAACAAAAGGCGGCTATAACAAGCAGCTGTGATACTTACATATAATTCCCCACAAAGGACTGAACAAAGGAATGCCTCTAAAAATATACGTCGGCCTCCATTAATTTTAAAGTATAAAATTCATACTCACATCGTTCCTTCTGTTCAATTCTCGATGGGAAAGTATGACCCAGTCTGTTAGAATATTTATGTGTTTGGTAAAAAGCACCGAGGTTTCGCCTCCCAGCCAAAAGGTCTTCAGGAGGACTGTCTGTGGCATGACTTGCTGATGCTGCGAATCGGTCCCTTCAACCAAACTGCAGAAAAAAGGAAGTGAAAAAAACCTAAATCTTTATGCCACTTTGATTACTATAGTTCCCAGACAGAAACCTTGTCTTCTGTCAAAACACACACAGGTTTGGCAATTTTTTAAGTATGGAAAGATCAGACACAATTTCTGATGAATAATAAGTAAAATAATGATGACTATTACAGTCAGACTGAAGGAATTCTAATATTGTGCTAATATTACATAATATAAAGGCTGCCGTTACTATATAAAGGCAGAGCAAAATCAAGACTTTTTTTATACTTCATTAACTAAGGAAAGATAATTGTCTTCCTAGCAAAAGATAGCAGTTAATTGAATTCTGAAAAAATAATCAGTATGTTCAAAATGCTGCTTGTCTACCTTAAAGAATGAATACTGAAACATTGCAAAGCTGAAAATACAAATTTACTAGCAAAATTAAATGCTTACTGAAACTTGTAATATAACAAAATAATAGGCTGGGAAAAGTTAGAGGCCTTAAAACAAGATTAGAAAAAAAACTATTATAAAGGACAATAAACAAACTAAGAATTGAGAAATACAAAAGGAAAAGCTAAACTGCTATCTCTATAGAACAGTATCTTATTAGGGACATACAAAAATCGGGATACAACCTGCTGTAGATACAGACACGCTCGGGCAATTGTGAAAAAGTATTATCCTATAAAACCCACCTTTTCGTCAGAAACTCTACTTCAGCTTTAACTACATCAAAGAAAAACTTCAATAATGTTTTGTGAACTCTCCTCTGTTCATCTCCTCTCCCTGAAACCGAGACTCCATGACAAATGGTTTTGCAATAAAGGCAAGACCTGAAAAATAAACACGGAAAAATGCATTTGTATGACAGAAATCATGGTCTGATCTATTGGCAAAAAAGTCAGCTTTGACTTTTGACAATCTTGACAAGGAAATACCTTGCTTCCCAGCAACATTTATCTTGTAAAGCCTGATGTTCTGATTTAAAAAAAAATTAACACATTTGTGACTAGAACTTTGTGTTACAGATGAAGATTTTGCATTATAGTATAAAATAAATAATTTAAGTGTGCTTAATTTTTCTGTTTCTACTTGAGATTACAATTAGTGATTTTAACAGAACTTCCTTAAAATCCTTAAATTACAAGGTAGTATTGTAATATTTTTCAGACACTCTAACGTCCTACAAACCTTAGTTCATATAATAGTTCACACACATTATTTGGCAGGATTACAGTTTGTGATCAAGTTTAATGATTGTCTAACATACTGGAGATAATTTTGAAGTAAAGGGTGAACACATTTTTTTTTTTGGCTAGAATTTTGAATACTGGAACCACCAGGTACACAACTGCTGCATATTCACATTCTGCCACTGAGGGCTAAAAGATAAAATACTTATATAAAAGATAATTTCCATTCCATGTGACATAATTGCCAATAAAAACTATCAAATGCCCAATTAGAGTGATTCAAGTATAGTGATTCTATGCCCTTCAAGACTAAAGATGCACTCACAATCATACACATTCATATATCTGTAATCACAGTTGTATCAAAGCAGTTAAATCTGGTCTGGTGGGAGGTGTTCCTGCCCAGGGCAGGGCGTGGAAATGGATGACTTTAAGGTCCCTTCCAACCTAAAACACTCTGTTATTCTATAATTCTATGGCAGTAATAAGAAGAATTCAGTTTTATTCTATAGTTCTATGGCAGTAATAAGAAGAATTCAGTTTCTCTTCCAGATGAATGGAAGGATTAATTTTTATTGATGTAAATTACAAAAAAATGAGTTTTCAAGCTGAAGGATAGACTAACTACCCAAACATTTCCTAGCTACTGAGTCTTGGATTTGTAGATACATAGGACATAATCAGACTTCCTGAACAACACAGCAAAGTTTATGATTAAAGTCAAAATATTATATGAAGCTTCATGTTTGGTAAGGTAAAACTGGAATTTGTTCTGTAATTACAGATATATATGCATGTGTGTATACACATACACTCCACGACAGCAGTAATACACAGATTATTATAATTTGTGAAGAGCTTAAAAAATAATAGAAATCATGTTTTAAAAAGGAAGGAGGACAAGAAAATGTACATTTTTTTCCTTTCCAAAAAATCATCCTCTGCTTGTGAGCTAAAATTTACTGAAACATCAACTGAAGGGTCCAAATCTCAGTTACAATTCTAGACCTTCACATACCATTAACTTGTCCTGGTGAAAACGTGATTTTGATACAACAGAATTCCAATCCTCCTCCCCTGTCCCTGAGTTTGGAGTAACATAACTATTGCACCCAACACCTTATTAAACTTTCTTACCTTACCAGCATCTCTATGAAGGACCATGTACCTTTCTTACAGATAGGACACTGGAGAAGATCCAGATAATACTTTAACATAGATGAGGACTTCCAAGGAGGATCACAATGGAGAACAAGGTACAAAGCATGATGAAGTTTAGCATAAAATATTGCATCAGTACTTCCCTGTAATAAAATGAGAAAATAATATTGGCTCCATGCTGGCCAAAGATCCATAGTCACTAAGAGTTTATAAACTTTCTTTATTCCTTACAATCCCAAGTTACCAAATTTAATCAGTGAAATAACATGCAATTTAATGCATAACAAGCAACCAAATTTAGAGTTTACAAAAAACAGGGAGGAAACAAGGAGAGTTTGCTCTACTGTGATATTCCAGGTGAACGCATCACTGCTTAGAACAAACTGCCTTCTCAAGTGAGCTCTCTATCTGTGGCCTACTAGGTTAAAAAAAAATAAAAATCACACAAGTGCCGTTTCTAAAAGCAACAAAAAGAAATTCTGGAGCAATTCTTCCACAGTATTTAGAACACTACATTCATATGGCTTGTAAATAAATAATAATTAAAAAAATCCCTAAGTACTAAATTCTTCCCTTTTTAACACAAGCACATTGATGAACACAGTGAAGGGTGAATACCTCACTAAAACCCACTAAATATAATGTCAGAAGCAAAGACTGTAATACTTCCATTTCTGGCTTTCATATTTATAATACTTTAGTCTTCATCTCTCACCAACAGGGCGTATTCTAGAAGAAAATGAAGAAGTTGCACAGGAGGTGTAGAGTACTTTTGACCAGCAGCAAGTTCTGTGATTACATCGGGAAATAAATACTCTTCCATTAATCCTTCAAGCATATACCATGTGCCTCTGGACAGGGTAGTATTTTCAACCTAGGAATGAGATATCTTTGTAAGTAAAAGAACAGCATAATGAAAAAACCCAAAATCTTACAAGAACTAACAAGCAACCTCTGAATAAAATGTTAGTAATATAATAGGGAGAAGACTATAAATTAAACCAGAAATATTACTTATTGCCTGATTCAATAAGCTGCTGTCATCTAGAAAGGCTTTCGCTCTTACTGAACTTTTCATTGAAAAGTTTCAGAATGTGCTTCTCTTCTTAGAAGATCTGAATACAGCTACCCTTTTAAAAAACAAGTGACAATTCACACCCCCAATAACTTCCTCTATAATTTATTCCGGAAAGGTACGCAAAGGAGTGTTAATATTTCCTAAAGTGCAGAGTACATTCCACAGTATATGACTGGAGCAGTAAGACAATTAGTACCACCGAACAGCTAAAAAAAATTAAAGAAAAATGTAAAATCACGAAATCTATCATTTATGAGTACACATTATAAAAAAATGAACCATGTTAACTACTTTATCTCCCTAGTTCTCCTATTCCCACATAGCACGTCAGAGAAACAGCTAATGCTACAGACAGCACAGGTATTGATCCCGGTGGATTTCAAAGCCCTGAAGATCTTCTTAATGGCACAGGGCTTCCTTCCTACTCTCTGCCACTCATGACAGCAAAACACTTAACTTTGCAAGCTTTCAGAGGACCCAGAAGGATCTAATGGCTTTCATGAAATGCCGTACCTGCTGTGCAATTTCCCTGTTACTCTCTGTACTCTCAGCTTCCCAAACCTTTATTTCCACAGATTAATGATACGAAGGAGGAGCTACTGAAGATCTCAGCTACATTGCTGTTTACATCTTTCCTCTAGACCAGGTTCCAGCCAAAGCCAAGATGCACAAACCAGTTGCAACCATACTGCTAACTGAAGCACTGCTTCCCTCTGCCTGACAGCTTCTATTTTGTTCAACCACACAGCCCGAGGCTCTGGTAATCAAAGAAACTAAGATAGGGAGTCACAACTGAGAGAACAGGGTCAAGAAGATCACTGATTACTTCATTACTTATTACTTTAGTCCCAACAACTTTATGATCTCTGACAAAGAACCTGGCTCCTAATGTTCAATAGACAAAGCTACTCATGACATCCTACCAATTGCTTTAAAAATAGTTTAAAATTTAAGTTAACACAGACTTTGGGTGCTGTTGTGGTTAGGAGGTCAATGGAGTATGCTGCTATTAGAAAGAGTTTCCAAAAAAATGTTTCAGTAACAAACTTAAATCATTAGGAGCCCAGGTCAAACCTGAAGAAAACCTCTGAAAGAAATGGTAATCACAGTTAAATCACAGGTAAAATCTCAGTGAATGAGCTCCACCTTAGCATTAGATATTTAGTTTCTCTGCAAATCTTTAATTTGTCGCAGTCCTAATGTATGCCGTTGTTACATTAACAATAAATAAAGCTGCTCATCCAGACAATTTTCCTTTAATCAAGTCTTTGTGCATCTGGCGTTTGCAATTCACATTTATTTCAATTTTCTCATTCATACATGCACTATTAAAATCTTCACACTATTTCCTTTGGAAATAATGGTTGCATTCATACTTTTGTAATGTTAATTATATGCAAACAGCACATCTAAAGAGCAATCATAAAGTGTTTAACGGCAGTCAAAGAACAACTTCTCTGTTGCCTGGATTTAAGATGTGTGAAGATGACTCAGTGCACCCTGCGTGTACAAGCATGTTACTGCTGGCCCTCATCTGCTGATGGGACCAGAATCCCTCTTTTTGTGTTGTGACTGAAACTTGCACCTCTTGAGAATTCTGTCACTAGAAGAAAGAGCAACACTGGATGCCCTATTTGGAACGCACACCAAAACAACGCTGTGTAGTGTGAGGCCTTTTGCATTACATTCATGATAAGGAGGAAGTGGAGAACGCATTTTCTGTTTATTTGTAGAGGGAAGGATAGGAAGGATGATTAGAAAACTTAGGTGATGAACTTTTTTCAGTATGAGGAGGCACCTACTGTAGGGCCTTAATATTCAATAAGCTGAACAAAGCTGCATCAGTTTGCGGTCTGGGAATTTCACGAGGGAAGGATAGGAAGGATGATTAGAAAACTTAGGTGATGAACTTTTTTCAGTATGAGGAGGCACCTACTGTAGGGCCTTAATATTCAATAAGCTGAACAAAGCTGCATCAGTTTGCGGTCTGGCTGATGAAGAACGAGCAGTTTCTTGTGAAGCTCTGCTGAGACAAACATGTAAACTTTTTAAATGAAAACAAATGAAAACTGAAGGTCCACAGACAATAAGTTGTGTTTTATATGGTGTAATGTGGAAGAGAAGCTGACAAAAGAGCTATAAATATTTTAGGGAAGATGATAGATAACAGAACACTTAGTGGAGTTGAGCCCCTGAGATGACTGAATGAAGCATGTAGTTCTAAACTGTTAATTTAGCTTGTAGGTTTCATTTTACTTCACTAGTATTATCAGACACATTTATTGAAACTGTTTTTAAAAGCCATTAATACACTGCCTATAGAAATCACATCAGATGCCAAGGCTAGCAATGGATATTCCACAAAGCAATAGAAGACAGTGGCAGGTCATGCACAACTAACGCACTAGAATTAAGCTTAAAATCTCCAAACAAAAAATTGTATTATTATTATTATTATTAAGAGCACTGAATAACAATTTCAGCTTACATGTGTTCAAAGAGCTAAAGCAGTTTTTCCATACACTCAATAAACTAAACATTAACCTTAAATTTCAATGCAAATGTGTTCAGTTACGCAAATGGGCACAGTGTTTTGCCCATTAATGGCACTGCTGGACAATGACAAAGGCTCATCTTTTAAACACATTTTTCTCCTCCCTTCCTTATTGTGTCAATAAAAAGAAATCAGATAAAAAGATATTTCTGAGAAAGAAAGAGAAGCCAGAGAGCTCATTTTGTCAGACCTGGACCTCATTTATGTATCAAGTAACTACTTATGTAGTACGGCTCATTAAGATAGCAAATCTTCAGCTACTGAGAAATATAAAAACTAATAGATATTAAGTGCTTCCCATTTTGACTTTTGAATAACACAGGTTACCACGTAAACTACAGTAGCTCATACCTACTATGTATAATGCTTTTCAAGTACTAATAAGTAAAGTTTCAACATGATTTAAAGATTCACTTGTAGCATTATAGATAGAAAAGGGAAAATTTTGCAAGTATTTATTTATTTAAGATATGAAAAAGACTTAATAAAACCTGTTGCTGACTTGTACCTGATTTATGGCATCCATTTGGCTTCATAGGAAGAAAAACGAGAACTTAACTAAGTAGTACAAAAAAAGGAATTAAGCCAAAGTAATTATGAAAACAGGACTGGAAACCATCATGTATTCTCCTGACAATCTGTGTTTCAGTACACTCCACAACCTGCAAGATGGTGTTTAAGGCACGTATGAACATGCTCTTTGTTGGCTGTATGAACAACAGCTTAAGGCTGTATGAACAATTACTGTTTCTTTCTAAAGTGAGACAACCTTTAGCAGGTCTGACCCTACCAGCAAAAACACGTGAGCACTGCAACAAGTTGTTGAGAGGGTAGTGGTCTATGGCCAAATGTCCAGCTGGAGATCAGTGACAAGTGGTGTCCCAAGAGGGTAAGTGGTCTATGGCCAAACGTCCACCTGGAGATCAGTGACAAGTGGTGTCCCTCAGGGGTCTGAACTGGGGCCAGCACTGCACAACAATCTTCATCAATGACATGGACAGGGATTGAGGGCACCCTCAGCAAGTTTGTGGATGACACGAAGCTGAGTGGAATGATTGACACACCTGAGGGATGGGATGCCATCCAGAGGGACCTGGACAGGCTGGAGTTGGGGAGGCATGGACTTGATGGATGGACTGTTTGGTGGATGAGGAATTGCCTGGATGGTTGCATCAAGAGGGTAAGTGGTCTATGGCCAAACGTCCACCTGGAGATCAGTGACAAGTGGTGTCCCTCAGGGGTCTGAACTGGGGCCAGCACTGCACAACAATCTTCATCAATGACATGGACAGGGATTGAGGGCACCCTCAGCAAGTTTGTGGATGACACGAAGCTGAGTGGAATCTACTCTTTCTTTCTAAAGTGAGACAACCTTTAGCTGAAGTCTGACCCTACCAGCAAAAACACGTGAGCACTGCAACAAGTTGTGTTTGCTTTCTCTTCACTGCTACTGTAATACAGTCCTTTCACCTGGGCTTCCATAAGGCCTTTGACATGGTCCCCCACAACATCCTTCTCTCCGAGTTGGGGAGGCATGGACTTGATGGATGGACTGTTTGGTGGATGAGGAATTGCCTGGATGGTTGCATCAAGAGGGTAAGTGGTCTATGGCCAAACGTCCACCTGGAGATCAGTGACAAGTGGTGTCCCTCAGGGGTCTGAACTGGGGCCAGCACTGCACAACAATCTTCATCAATGACATGGACAGGGATTGAGGGCACCCTCAGCAAGTTTGTGGATGACACGAAGCTGAGTGGAATGATTGACACACCTGAGGGATGGGATGCCATCCAGAGGGACCTGGACAGGCTGGAGAAGTGGGCCTGTGTGAACTTCACAAGGTTCAACAACACCAAGTGCAGAGTCCTGCCCCTGGGTCAGGGCAAACCCTGGTATAAGCACAGGCTGGGGATGGAGGGATGGAGAGCAGCCCTGAAGAGAAGGACTTGGGGGTGCTGGGGGATGAAAAGCTGGACATGAGCCAAGAACACATACTTGCAGCCAAGAAGGCCAAACGTAGCTCGGGCTGCTTCAAAAGAAATGTTGCCAGTAGGGCAAGGGCAGGGATTCTGCCCCTCTGCTCCACATTGGTGAGACCCCACCTGCAGTGCGCTTCCAGCTCTGGGGCCACCAACATCAGAAGGACATGGACCTGTTGGAGCGGGGCCAGAGGAGGCCACGGAGATGCTGGGAGGGCTGGAGCCCCTCTGCTGGGAGGGGGGGCTGAGAGAGTTGGGGGGTTCAGCCTGGAGAAGAGAAGGCTCCAGGGAGACCTCAGAGACCCTTCCAGTTCCTAAATTATGTTTGCCTAACTTCATAACAGAACTCCATATATGCAATGTGTCCTCTTTGTGAGAATCCTTACCTCTGGACTGCATTTATTCAGCTGGTCTTTTTGAACAATCCTGTGCTTAACAGTCTGTAAAACAGGATAAAGTCAACCTACACATTAGAGACTAATAAATGTATGCAATAAATACTGTATAAAACCCACAAAATTGCACTTTTGTTAAACACAGTTCAAGCAAAACATTCAACATATTAAGCTATTTATCTTTTTAATATTTGGATAGCAAAATTATGAAATAGATGGCAAAAATAATGAAATTATTTTATGGCAAACAAAAGTTAATTACTTTTATGGCAAAAATAATGACATTATTCTCCTAAGAGGAAAATAACATGGGCAATTTTTTTCTCCCCATCTTCCCTGTTATTCTGTGCTTCTTGTTTATGTGGTTGCTACGTACGGACAGCTTTACTAGATTTGGTCCACTTAACCACATTAAACAATATTAAGTGTATTCTGTTTCCCTACAGCGAAATTCAAACTTTGGATTCCTCTTGCAGATTACCAATAATGTGAAGATACGGCATTCAGTGCAAAGATTTATTGCTGTATTTATTACGTCCTAGTGTTACAATCTTACTAATACATGCTACCGAAAAAGTCTTTTAGGAGAGATTTTGTTTAGGATTATGATTGCTCCATCTGCAAATAATAGTTTGAGGGAAAGATAATCTGATAAGTGCACTTGTGTGTTGTATACATGGAAGTCAAAGACACTTTGATTTTTTAAAGGTCTGTAGGGTATAGTCATGATAAAATGTCACTGATAAAAGATGCAGCATTTGAAGGCATATAGATTTAAGCAGCATGTATCTTCTATTTGTTAATCCCATGTTTACACTTTGTGCAAATTGAGGACTTAAAAATTCTTTTGCTACTAAGAACATATAATATACCTAGAGGACCTGATTTTGCAGCCACAAAATCATACAGTGCTTCATGTAAGCAAGCTCCTACAAAAATACTTATACACTGTCATCTTCATCACAGTATCTTACAGAGATAATGTATCCTAACCCAAAGTATTTAATTGTTTTTCTATATATGAAACAATGTTTTTATTAATGTAGCACATTTATCAGGATTAGATGTTGCACAACATTAAAACAAAGGGGCGCATTTAGCCCTATTTTTCTCTTGTAATAAAAAATATTCATATGAATCAACAAAATACTTGCTCTAGGATATGGTTAGTGTAATTCATGTGTAATTCAGCTAGATAACAGGAAAGTCATAGAAAGACTGCAGTCCAATGATTTTTTTTTAACAATATTAGCTACTACTTTTCTCATGTATAACACCAAGATTTCAAGTAGTCCACCATGTCTTCCACACAGCCACGCCTACCAATTACCACTACTAAATTATTTTTTAGCTAACAGCACATGCAGTAAATATGGGATTACTGAACAGGTTAAAAGGCATTATTACCATTTGAAGATATGTTAAATTACCTATTTTATTAGCTTAATACCATAACGAAGATAAATTTAATAATATACATTTTACGCTAAGGAAGTATTAACTGATTGTTACTTACCACAGCAAAATACATATGTTTAATAACAGCACTTCTCATTGCTGAGAGCTGTGTATTAGACATGATTTGGTTGGTTTCTTGTGCAGCCAGGATATCTTCAGTATTTTGTATCTCATTCTGTGCAGAGCAAAGAAATACCATTGGTTTTAGTTCTAAAACAGCTTTTATGTGCTAACTCTTTCTATATATTCTGTTGTAAACCCCTTTGTGCATGCGTATGGCATTGCTCAGGGGTCTACATTATGTGCCAGACAAACAACTGGTGGGTGGTTTAGAAACAAAGCCACTGAGGGTATAGAAAGCTATAGCATAGGAATTATCAGTGTAAGCTTCCCCATAACTATTTTTCCTAACTGACTAACGCTAACAACCCTGACCCAATCCCCGTGGCTGAAATCAGAGCTGTGTTTCCAAACACAGTCTCTCTTTGGACTTTCCAAAAAATAAAACCAAAGGCCACACCTTTTCAATTAGTCAAAAATGTAATAAGGATTTTTTAATCTACAATGAAATCTTCTCAGCTCTTGCGTATAAGCCTGAAATAAACCAGTAATGTTAAAATTAGCTCTTTCTTTTTTTAGTAATTTACTCTCTCAGTCCCCTATCGTTTCCAGCTATTTCTTCAGAACATGGAATGAGGAAATATTTCTCAAACTGGTTTCCACCTCATTGTGAAAAGACTCTCAGTGAAGCCAAAAGATTACTTCTGTTGACAAAAAATAACTACAAAAAATCCAGAACTTATTTCAGGATATGAGAACAACAAATTTCAGTAAGTTTCAAAGTTTGCTTTTCATCAAAGATATAGACTAAAACACCACCTTTCTTTTAGGCAAATACACACATAACTACAAAACCAGTCTCCTCCTGCAGAACGATGAGTTAAGAATATAAGCACAAGCGAAGCATTCCTCTTGGTGACACATGGATGGCCATTTTTTATTGGGAGCAGGGGTGGGAGGAATGGGGCAGCTTGCCTTCTAATTCAAACACCTAGTTCTGACGGGCAAGTCAAGTATGGGAAACACAGGAAATAACAGCAGGAAAAAAACCACTGTGGTTCAAGCAACAACAAGGTCAAGTCATGAACAGCTTATACTTTTAAGCTTTCAAGATAGAAGTTTCAAACAGTGCAGATGTTTCATCCTGTTTTCAGATTTTCCCTTAAATGGATAATCCAACCCAAAAGTATTTGGCACATGGATAATAACTATATTTCTAAACAAATACTGAGTTTGTTGCACAGTATATACAAATTAAGTATTTCTGGTAACTTGAAAAGAGCCCAAAATAGCTTTAGATGAGCCAGGGATAACTGAACTCTGATGCATTAACTAGTCTTTTCTTCTTGTGGCACTTTCTACGCATTATTTTCAATATGCTTATAAAAATACTTGTATTCAAACAATTTATAGCACCACCTTGGCAAAATTTTATGAATGCCAGCATGCATTCAGCAAAGCATTTAAAGTCTCTGTTTAAGCATGAGACCAGCTCCCTAAAATCATGCATGTGTTTTAATACCTTGAACAAACACATTTGACAGTTTTCAGGATCAAGTCATTAATGACAATCCCACAGAGCATTTTAACACTAGAGTTATGAAGTTGAGATTATAAGAACAGATATTGAAATGTAAAGATGAAGCAAAGACTTGGTTCCTCTGAAAAAAAGAATATAATACTGCCTTGTGGAATCCAGCATCTGGACAGATAATGTGGGTGTTTAGGGGAGGAACTGAGTTATTTATTTTTGCTAGAAGTAGCAGTCAAATGGCAGGACCACAAATCTACAAAGCTGGAATGTTCTAATAAACTATGTGCCAAGTACTTCTGGCAGGAAGAGACAAGACTAAGTCCATAACATCCTTTGATAAAGCCTCCTACACTTGGACAAGTGTTGTGATTTGATTGCCTATGTTTTGTTCTTTTCCTTTTAAGAGCCTAAGAGTCTTGGCAGTTTTCTGAGTTCCTTAGATACATTTAAATAGAAAGCTAATGCTCTCTTGGCCTCTAAGGTGAGTTACTTTAATGAAATCTAAAGAAAAAAAAAAAAGATAAGTGCAAGTAAATGGACTGGTTAAGATGGAAACTTGTTATCACACCTGAGAAGAATTCATGGTGCATAGCAAGAAACACTTTATTCTCATAGAAATCAATAAAAGGTGAAGCAGCTATAAAAACTGGACACTCGTTCCTCTATTAAATGTAAACATCTATCTTAGCTGAAAAGTGTAACAGAGAAAGTTTCCCTCAATAAGTTTCATTAAGAGAATAAGCACTAGACTGAGATCCCATGTTGATGTGTGTTTTATTCAGGGAATACACATTAAGACCTTGCAACTCTTCTCACCCTTTTGTAAGAACTTTATTGCTCATTGAAACAGGAAGAGAAGGCATATGCTTTGATCTGAAGAATCTAAAGGATTTTCAAAAATAGGTTATTCCTAGTTATTCCCCAGCTTGCAAAGGTAATATTTTCAACTAGCAGTTCCTCCAGAGTTTGAGGAACTACAAGACTAAAAGAATCTTTTGAGGCCCTTGAGCAGTCTCAGATCAAAATGCTACAAGTTCTGAATAGTGCACCTGAGTGAAAGGCAAACAGTGCACCTGGTAAGCAAACAACTAAGAATCATGGGGCATTTCCCTCTTTCTCAAGGGAAACAGTAAGGAAGAAATTCTAGTTATCACGAATTCTGCACATACAAGAAAATTCATTCAACAGTGACATGTCCCCTCGTAGTTCAGATGGAAATATTACAGAGAAACAATCTGTTTTTCTTGTTCTGCATCTTATCTTTTGCACCACTGTAACTTTAACTCCTGATCCAATTCTGGAGCTGAACAGTAAACCTAACACTCTGAAGCATCTGATATCGCACCGGATGCTTCATCTGGCTTAGCCATTCCAATTCATGACTTCCAGTATGGCTTCTCCCTTCAAATAAGGTCCACCCAGGCCCTCATGTCCTAGTGGATCTGATGATGTGCTGTCTCATGTCCTAGTTCCGTTAACAGAAGAAAGCTATTATAGGGACTTTGGACAATCCTCTTCTACCAACCCAGAAATACAACACTTGCATTCTCAAGAATTTAACACTTTTGACTAGTAAAAGAAGTTTCATCATGAATGGCAACAGGTTTTTTAACACAGAAAGAGACAAAGTTGAACCCAATCTTTCCACATGTGAGCGCCATATGATTGGAGTTTTAAGGACTCATTAACATTTTCTGAAATGCAGGTGATTAGTTCCCATCTGACTCCAAGGGTGGAAGTTTGGCAAATGGAGAAGCATTACAGCACATAAACTGTTGGTGTATGAGACATTCTTAACAAGCCCTCTTGGCATGCTAACCTATTCTCATAGAGCTGCTGGTTGGTTATACAGTCCTTTAGCCTAAATCCATTTCATTTAATTTTGTCTACAAGTGACGAACACTCTACAGTAAAGGAGAGTTAAAGGTATGCTCAGACAGCAGTCCACACAAACTGTTTCAGGAAATTGTAATTCTTGCAGCATAAAGCTCAGTGCATTGACAGAAAAGGGAACATAGGTGACCAGCTTACATTGCATTCCTGGCACAGAAACAGTCTAAGTGAATTTTCTCTGCCTAGCATACCATTCCCTCCCAAAATTCATATTGCAAGCAGCAGTTCCTCCCAGCCACAAAAGACTGCCAGCAAACTGATCTGGAGTTAAGATACTGAATCTTAACAACATAATCTACAGACTATTTAACCAGTCTATCTATCATGTTATTTAAAAAAAAGTAGAATAATTGGGGTCAGTTGACAAAAGAAGTGACTACATTGATCTTGAAGCATGAAAATAACATTATACTACAGCTTGAGTGCTTGCCAAACCCAATTAAAAAAATATATATATTCAGATACATAGGCAGAGAGATACATAGATACATATTTAAAATCATTACCAAAATAAAGAGAATATAAATGAAAAATGGTATCTTTTTTTCCTCGGTATTTTGTGAATAACTGTTTAGTTGATGGCCACCTACACTGGAACTTCCCCCTGAAGTCTAATTATTTTTTCCAGTAATCGTAGTAGCCAGGAGCCAGGAGCAAAGCAGGAGCCAAGGAAGAACAAACATGAAGATGAAAAAACAATGTATGCTTCCTTGGTGTTTGCTCCGAAACAGAACACTCCTTTCAGAAAGATAATTTTTCTATTACAGAATGACAGAATAGTTGAAAATGCAAGGGATTTCTGGAAATCATCTGGTCCAAGCCCCCAGCCCAAGGAAGGGCACGAAGAGCCGGTTGCTCAGGTCCATGCCCAGATGGCTTTTGAGTATCTCCAAGGGTGGAGACCACACACCCTCTTGGGCAACCTGTTCCTGTGCTACATTGCTCTCACAGAAAAAAAACCCCAACACTTTCAGACAGCAGTTTGCACCCATTGCCTCTCATCCTGTCTCAGGGCACCACTGACAACAGCCTGGCTCTGTCCTCTTTGCACCCTCCCTTCATCCTCTTCTCTTGGACAGCCCCACCATCAGAAAGTTGTGTTACCTTTAATTAAATTACAAAACATTCAGGCTGATCACATTCCCCTCTACTATTAATGCTGCGTTATTGACAGTAATGAGCAAACCTGACACAAAATGCTAACAATATAAAACTAATTTCAGGTATGTTTTTTACATTACTTACCTCAAAAAGGTAATCTCCCAGATATTGCACAGGGTAGTATCGAGCTTCCGAGAGACCTTTTTTGTTTTGCACAGGACAAATTTTATTAAGGATGAATACATGAGTTATACCGCACTCTGCCTTTTGAGATGAACATATGGTTGCCTTTCCAGCTTGAAGAACTCTAAATAAACATATTTAGAAAGATGCATTAACCGCATTATATTAATAATGCCTAAAGCCAGGTTATCATTCACAAACTACAAGCATGCAAATACAAGAGAATAAGGGGTCTAGACGTAAGGCACTGCCCAATCTTCATCAGGAGAATAAAAGGGCACTTAGTAATGCACTTAACAAGACATCCTTCTCTTCACAATTTAACACTATTAATTAAAATCTATGTACATCTTCTATATATCTGATAGAAAGCTTTACCTGTGCAATTTTTAAAGATCAAGTTTAACGACAGCAGCTATAATTTATTCCATTATGTCCCCCATAATGATGATGGTTCTTCAATTAAGTTTTGCAACCAATTAAGTGGTCTACCAAAAATTTTCATAATGTAAATATACTTTTATACTTCATTTTAGAGTCATTTACAGCACTTGCTGCTGTCCAATGTCATACACAGAAAACAGATTTGTTTGTCTTTGGGACAACACTGCATGGAAGAGTTTCCCTAGGGGCAATTTCCAGAGTAGTACTGCTGCAAGTATTCCTATCCTTTATAAAACATGCCAGACCAAAACAACAGTGGAAGAAATATGGTCTCTCAACATGCTGGATGTATCTTTTATTTTTCATAATCCAGGTATGTTAAAAGAAAAGGATGCTGGTCTCACACACTTACCCATCCAACAGCTAGGCACTAAAGGCAGGAAAAGCATAGAAGGGGGGAAAAAAGGCACAAGCATTGTAAATATTAGAGAAAAATCAAGCTTTTCCCAAAGCTACAACGGCCTTTATGACTGAAAACAGGACTTGTTGGAGAGAAAAACATTATCTACCTTTCAGTGTTTTCTGACTAAGTGAAAGGATCCCCATGTTGGTGTATGGGAAACAGCCTTGTAAAAAAGATTCCTTCCACAAAACTGCCTGTTCACCTGTCTTGCTGATGTAGTTCCTGTTCTATCGCAAACACAGAGCTGTGCCAGACAGCATTCCAACAGTGTTACCATGAAGACCTACGTAAGCAGCTTTTATGGAAAAAAAGAAAAGGCATTTTTCACAAGTGTAGTAGGATGGGCGTGTTTTTCTGCAAGACAGCCCACAGTAAACTCTTCTGCTCAGCCAAGAAAATACCACACTTGGACTCCAGTTGGCAACTTCAGAGGATGGTAACTTCAGCTACACCTTGCTTAGTCTTCATGAACAGCTAATGCCTGAAACAGGCTTTCTGCGATGCAGCCCTGTACCATCCTCAGCCAAACTGCACTTCCCTTCTTGCCTGTGTGTCTGTGGCACCCCCAGACCTGAGGAGTAATCCTAATTAATGGGAATTCCAACAGAGGAGGACAGGAGGACAATATCCGTGCCTGCAGCAAATGCAAAGCTCTAAAACAGTGTCAGGGGATGTTTGCTTTTACTGCATTAGAAGCAAACATTACTTAACACACTCTGTTTGTGATTCAATGTAGTATTTAAACCACAGAATCCAAATGTGTAGGAAGAGTATGGCGGGGGGAGGGGGGAAATATGCATTTCCAGAATTCTTGCACTTCCGTTGTTTTCCTTTTCTCTGTTTTTCCTTTTCTCTGTTTTTTCTTTATACTTTTATCCTTTTCCTTCTGAACTATCTGTACTTACATCGTATCAGAAACATCTGCTAAAGTACATAGCAGGTCTTGGGAACTAGAAGCAGCTGTTACACAGAAGTGAAACCAAAACCTACCAAGTCAGTCACAGTGTGGCCCAGATCCCTAAAAAACACAGTTCTCGATGGGCCCAAGTCACCCACCCGAGTGAAATATTGTATCCCGTTCCAGCTACTATTTGAGTGCAACAGCCACAGAAAATAAAGGATTACTCATAAAAAAAAAGAAAGACAATGTATCTTGTCTCATGAATAAAGTTTCTGTCTGCAGTCTACTTAAGACACAAACATGAGAATATGTGCTATTTTTGACACTATACTATAAAGAAAGCAAGAAAATTAGTGAAGTTACAGATTTAAAGAAATTTAATTATAAAAAGTATAGAAGTATATTAACAAAAGACAACTCAGAGTTTGAAGAGCTGGAGGTTGTTATGGCCCAAATTAACTGGGATGCATGAAAAAAAAGTGTTTCACCATACAGTAAGTGTTCCACTGTTGATTATTTAAGCTTTAAGACGTATCCTCCTACCTTCTAATAGACGCCATTCGTTTATCACCTTCCTTAGCAGGGAGGACAACTTTCCATCTGTGGAAGGCCCCTGGAGCACTCCAGCGTGTCAGTTCTTCACGCCATCTTTTAGGTGCAGATTGCCTTTGAGGTGAATAATGGGTGTCTTTTTCAATTTCATATCCCCATTCGTACGTTGTTTCATCAAGCCATCTGCCACTTTCGGCACTATTAATTATGTACTCCTTAGTTAGTATCCACTTTCCTAAAAAGCAAATGAACTGTCAACCACAAAAGATTTTTTTTTGTGCAGACAAATGGCAATCAACTGAAGATCTAATATAAAATTAACTTCAACCTTTCTTGTGCAAATAAAAGCTGGAATTACAAGTACCGTTTTAAGAACTTCTTCCTACTACAAGCGTTCTCCTCCTCACACTTTAAAATCAGAAATCTGAGATTTCGTTTTGTTTTCTTTTAATGATGAAGTACCTTTTTACTCTTCCCAGATAAAATACTTGTCTATCTCCTCAAAAATCTGCAAATGGAATTTTTTCAGCTTCCCAGATTTTGTTTTTACAACTTCCACAGAACCTTGCTTAACCCTTTATTTTTAACACCAATTGGCACTTTTACAATGTACTCACAAACGTAGTAAAATGAAGAAATATTTTACCACCAATTATAAAGAGGAACCAAGGATTTAGCACGTAAGCTCTTTCTTTTACATATTCCTAATATTACTTGCACTGCCAAGTGTAGCGAATACCACCAATATTAGGGGATACAGTTTTAGACTTTTGTCTTTCCCCTTTCTTCTTTTCACATCCTGTTCTCTCATCCCTTGGCTCCACCTCCTCCGCCTCTCCTCTTTCATCTTCCGCGTGTACGCTTTTGATACTCTGTGTAATGATCTTCCCCTTTTTCTCTGTCTCTCTCTTCTTACAGGTTCAGGTCAAGAGCCGTGGTTAGTACCCTGCTCCTGTATTGAAACACTACCTACAGAAGATACTGCAGGAGAAATTGACTTGAATTGTGTGAACCTAATTGGTTTCACAGAACAGCAGGGTTGACTGGCAAAATGTCTCAGTGCAGGAGCACAGATGGCACTTCTGCACAACCCAGCACAGGTACCAGTAGACTGGAAAAGGTACGCTGCGCACAACCTGTGTGTCTAAACCACCTTCATTTCAAAGTTTCCATCTCAAAACTTCTGGCAGCTAGGAAGTCCACGAAGACTGGCATCCTCGGTAGTACTTCTCTGTCTCTAGGGAGTTCCAAACAGGATTAAACATGATCTTTTACACTTACTTGGGCAAAACTGCAGTAGGGAAGAACACTCTCTGCCATCAAGGTCAAGAGCAATGCTTACCCAAAAAAGAGCACCTCTTACAGGATTAAAAGGTACTAGATGGTATTGGGGAAGATTTGCAAGTACAGAAACAAGACAGACTTTTGCATTTCATTGTGGACGCTACATATACTGTATCTACTCAGTTAAAGAAAACATCTCCAGATGTTTTAAATCCCAAAAAGTAAGAAAACATTAACTCAAAGGTTTATAGTAGTAAAATGAAGTGCTATGCCGGAAATCTTTCTGCGTTATAATATTGTTTCCCTTATGGAAACTTTTTGGTCTGTTTCCTTTTTTGATTAGAGTGCGATCAGAATTTTATATTAGTAGAAGGAATCATGTGTGTATACATTTATAAACACAACCCTACATTCTAAATGATTGAGAATTCCTACTAATACACTATTTAAGTACAAATATGAAAACAAGAAATTCACAGATATCTTTCAACCCAAATCTATGTTTACTTATTTCTGTTAACTCCTAAATTTAAGATTATCCATCCTAAAAATTGCTTTAACACTTTGGTATAATCCAATATACAGAAAATAAAGATCACATTGAACCGGTTCATGTACCAGTATTGTGAAATCTTGTAGCTCCACAAGATTTTCTACACTCACCATAAAATCTTTCCACGTAATTTGTCTACAAAGATATATTAAAATACAGAATTCTCAATCTACATGCATTTTTAAAAAATAGTTGCTTACGTATGGGATTTTTGGCATCAGGGCCTTAGGTAAAAGAAAAGCAAGAGGAAAGATGAAAGGCTTGTGTCAGAAAGGTACAAGCCTGGAGTTTTCTCTTGCTGCATGAACAGGAACTTACAGTGGCCTTTACCAGTGAAATGCTGCGTGTGAATTTGGTGCACGCTGATTACAGGTGTCCACGCTCCCTCTGCCTCCTTTGCAAGCAATCCACTTTTAAGTGCCTGTATCATTTGGACAGTACTTCATGATCTAACTAATGCATAACCAAGGTTTCTGTTTGGGACTGCATGCAGACTAAATAAAGGAAGTTGGCAGGAAAACATCCAAACCAAAGAGAAGTAAATCAAAGCTTCAACATAACACTATGTTAAGAGTCAAGATTATGGCCCTATGTTATGACTTTATGACATTTTAGAGCAAATCTTTTACTCACCAGCAGCACAGGCAGCTAAGAACTTTTCACTCTTGCACGGCTTCTTTGCTATAAGATGTGTGCAGTTCCTGTATTTCTAGCAAAACAAAAACCAAAACAACACACTTGTATCACTGGGAACGGTTTGACTTTCTTGGCTATTTATGCAAAACACCAACCCCTGCCCAGAGCCTTCTCTTAAGGCTCACACTTTTTTTTGTTCCTGCTGTAGCCAACAGGTACTTTAGCGAACAATACCTTATCAGGTAAAAAAACACAGTCCAGTCTGAAGAGCCATTTCAGCAGCGCCGCTTTCTCTCGCTTTTTAAATCCGGTAAATTGGACTACCCGCTTCTGGCCGTCACTTGCCATCTGCTGGGAGAAAACCAAACCAAAAGGAGACATTTAAGCGCTCTTACTAGTACTTCCTCCTCCTTTCCCGACCGAAGAAAACAGGGGAGAGGCAGGCCGAGGGCTCGGCAGGGCCCGAGGGCGCCGAGGGGGCGGGCAGGCCGCAGACCCCACACCGCCCGAGCCCCCCCGGGACGGGCACCGCCGCTCCCGCAACCCGCAGGCGGGAGCCACGGCCCCCCCGCACCCGCGGAACAGCGCGGCCTTCCGCCTCCCACCTCCGCGAAGGGAAAAGCCGCCCGCCCTGCGGGGAGGCCCCGCGGGGAAGCGCCGCTGAGGGGAGCGGAGGTGCCGGGCAGGAGCCGCGGGGAGCGAACCGCCTCCCCCTCAGCGGCGTCGGGGGGGAGCCCGCCCGCCCGCCATCACCTACACAAGCCATGGGGGCGGCCGGGCGCCTTCTCGCCCCCCCTCCGGTCCGGTGCGGTGCGGGCGCTGCTCCCCGGCGTGTTCCCGCCTTCCCCCCGCTCCGCCCCCGGATGTGGCGGCGCCGCCGTTCCGGGCCGTTGTCACCGACGCTCCACGGTCGCCGGGGCTGTGGGCGCCGAGCCGCGGGGGGAACACGGCCCGGTAAGTGTCCCCTCCCGTTCCCCGGCGGGGCTGCCCGTCCCCTCCCCTCACCGTGCGGGATGGGGCCGGGGGGAGACCCGCCACCGAGCCCCCTGCGGCCGCCTTCCTCTCCCCCGCGGCGCGGCCGGGCGTTGCGCAGTTCTGAGGCTCCCCCGGTGGGTGCCCGCCCCTCTGAGGCGGCCCCGCCGGAGCTGGATGGCGGGAAGGGGCGGCTTTCCCTCTGGGGGGAAGGACGAGGTGCCCAGGGGGGGAGTGGCCTTCCCCAGGACGGGGTGCCCGGGGAGGGGGAGGCCTTCCCTTAGGATGGGACGGGGGAGAGATGGCCTTCCCTCAGGAGAAGGTGCCTGGGAAGGAGGTGGCCATCTCTCAGGACGGGGTGCCCGGGGAGGAGGTGGCCTTGCCTCAGGATGGGAGGACGGGGAAGAGGTGGCCTTCCCTCAGGAGAAGGTGCCTGGGAAGGAGGTGGCCATCTCTCAGGACGGGGTGCCCGGGGAGGAGGTGGCCTTGCCTCAGGATGGGAGGACGGGGAAGAGGTGGCCTTCCCTCAGGAGAAGGTGCCCGGAGAAGAGGTGGTCTTCTCTCAGGGGAAGGTGCCCGGGAAGGAGGTGGCCTTCCCTCAGGATGGGGGGACGGGGAGGAGGTGGCCTTCCCTCAGGAGAAGGTGCCCGGAGAAGAGGTGGTCTTCTCTCAGGGGAAGGTGCCCGGGAAGGAGGTGGCCTTCCCTCAGGATGGGGGGACGGGGAGGAGGTGGCCTTCCCTCAGGAGAAGTTGCCCGGGGAGGAGGTGGCCTTCCTTCAGGAGAAGATGCTCGGGAAGAGGTGGCCTTCCCTCAGGCTGGGAGGACTGGGTGGGGAAACAGGCTGTTTGTCACCTCAGAGTCCCTGAAAATCACCATTTCTGTTGTTCAGCAGAACTAAAAGAGTGGAAGGCGTTCTGGTAGGGGTGGAAGACAGAAGATACCCGGCTGAGCTGAGGAAGCTGACGGAGGAACCAGGTGGAGTTGGATGTAGGTGCAGGCTGAAGAGTCTCCCCTCTGGAATGGGCTGTCTGGGAGAGTCGGGAGAGGGACAGAGGGTTTCTGATCCTCAGTGCCCTTTTCTCTGTGTCTCAGAGAAACTTTCAGTGTCTTGTGCCACATGATGACTGAGCCTCAGGGGAGATGACCATGTGCCACTGAAGCCAGATAATCGAGGCACATATTTTGGTGCCCTGTTGATCAAGTTGATACTCTTCTTTATGGAAGTCAGGGTTTGATATTTTTTTAAATTACAAAGTAACATGAAAAGATGAAACTAATATTCGGATTGTACCTCGAGCACTCAATTTGGAATTTAGAAATGTAGAAACGACAAGACTATGATTGTCTGTGAAACTTTGTTTTGGTCCCTCCCATATTTGAGAGATGATTTTTGACTTGATTCCTGTGTAGTTGAATACACTGAATGGATGGTGCACAAGGAATCTGTTAGTGCTTTATAATGAATACAGTTAGCTTTGTATAGCACTTTTTTTATATAACTGGGGAGTACAAGGCATGCATCCTGATTCAAGCATTAAAAAAAATAAATTACTCAATTGCCTCCTTAGAGAACTGAATGTTACTCTCTCCCCTTCCATAAAATTCTTATGTGATAATGGACATTGTACTCATTGAGGTAGCTGTTTCATATTTAAGATGTGTATACTGAGAAATGTATGGCAAAACATTCACAAGTGCTGAGTATTTGTCACTATTAGATCAATAGAAGCAATGCATACATAGGTATTCCTGTGGAAAGAAAACCAAACTCACCTGTCTTCAGACATCTGAAGTTTGGCAGCACATTGGATGCTTTGTTTTAAATCTGTCTGAGTTTCCAAATATCAAAATGGAAAAATACTTCTTCCAGGCCTCAGATGGGTCTCATGTTGCTGTTTTTGAAATATTCTGGTACCCTTAATGGTAGTGAAGTTTTTTCCCATCTTCTGTTTCCCTAACATTGCAGCTATATTTTTGTATGTGAGCATGAAAAAGTAACCATGACCAACCTCTGTTGTCAGTTTTTGATATAAGTGGCACTGTAAAATCTTTAAGCGTTTACTTGACTATTCAGAGTTAAACAGCTGTATTTATTGCTTGCATTTCTTGGTTGACATTGAAGATTAGTTGCATTTTGTACTTTGTACCTGTTGCGCCTTTATACCTTCACTATTGAAGTGAAGTATATCACTGTAAAGTACTCGTTTTAATTCTTGTAACTGGAATGCAGAAAATCAAAAACCTTTGTTTGTTTTATAAAATGTAATCTAAAGTTTGGACCACGCCTAATCTGTTGTCCCTAAATACTTTTTTTTAATTTGATGGTAAAAATTGATTTTATTTAAAAACTATCAGCCCACTTTATATGAATAAATAATTCTGAGTTTATTTACTCTGATAAAGCTGAAATAATGTTTGGATTAATATTTTTTAAAGTCAACAATTTAATTCTCATTAACTACTACCGACTATGAACCATTACTTAACTAGTGACTAATAGCAGTTTTATGCCACAGGGCCATTAACAGGCTGGGGAAGTCTTCAGCATACAGTACTGTAAATTTCAGCACACAATACTGTAAACTAGCGACTAGTGGAGAATTTGCATACTTACATGATGATAATTTGTTACCTTTGAGAAATAAGTATTTTCTAGCTTTCCACCCCACCCCCCCTTATCTCTGGCCCATAAAATAAGTGGAATCAAAAATAACTGAGACTTCAAACATTTCACATTTATTTTCATCTTAAAATATTTTGTTACTGAAGTGTAGCTTTAAGAAATTGAGAACATGTTTTTGCCTTTGTTTTAATGATGTCTGGTAAGTTTGGATTTCACTTATCCTCTCCCTCTATTATTTTTTCATGATAAGCCTAAAATATTTTCTTCTTTTCCGTCCTTCTTGTGATCTCATTATGGTAGCTAGATAGCTCTTAATTCATAATGTTCATTAACCCTTATTTACAAGAGTTAATGTTAGGAGCAGTATTTTTAACTGGAGTATTTTTCAATATCTCTAGGTTTCTTTGTTCTGTGTCAAATGGTTCAGTTGCTCAGTGTCATAAACTATATTTAAGTTGTTTGTCTCTGGGTTTAGATAGATACCCACTTTCACACTTCTACAGTACATGTGACATCTTTTATAACAATTCAGAAGTGTTTTTCTGTGCTACGCAAATGGTGTTTCACTTAGAAAATTTCTAATTACATTTTAAGGATTACCAAGAATGGCTGTTCAGCTCCCATGTCCTCAGTTCTTTAAGAAGTCAAGATCTGAGAAATAAGTATACCTTTTACTCTTTCACAGAAAGAGTTTACTTACATTGTTTTGGGTGCCCTTCTCTATCAGACATTTTCTTTCTTGATTTTTCCTGGAGACAGAAAAGAGAAATTTCTCTTTCATTCCACTGTTCTAACTTTCTCCCCTATTCTTTTTGTCTCCTTTATGTTCTACCTGTAGTTGTATTACCACCATGTCTCTTGCCTTCACTTCTTACATTTTGCCGTAGATAACTATTTTTCTTCACATAATACGTGCAGTTAATTTTCTCCAAGTGTCATCGGTTTTGCCACGATCAACGTGATCACTGTTGAACCTTGTCCTTAAATCTCACAACCACTTTCTGTTGCAACTTAGGGCTAGGGTTGGTTTTTTTCCCAGTTTTTGTCTCTCTAGCCTTTTGACTTCCTATGTTGAAAATGATACGCAATTTCTTGCAGTAATGGCTATAGTAATACAATCTGTGCACAAACATCTCTTCCATCGTCAAATGTAATCTGACTTTTTTTTTATCTAGTGGAAGATATTTTGCAAAATATTTTCTGTCAGGCAAATAAGTGTATCAGTTGACGGATTAACAATTTCAGAGTTTAAAAAATTGTTCATTAGAGCTTCTTTTCTTCTGTTGCCTTAACATTACATATATATACTTGTTTAAGCAGTATAATTTGACAAAACAAAAGTCACAGGGCCTTAGGCAAAATTTGGTGAAACATTTATTGAAAACAGCTTTTTAAAGAAAATGCGAAACTATACTGAAAACTCAGTCCTAAAAGCTAAAGTAGTATGAAGTGTCTCCACACTGCCTTCATGTGGAGAAAAATCTAACTTTGTGCCCTGCTTTAAGTCCATTTTGTAAGTGTCTTCAGCATGAAGCACTGACTCTGGCTTTGTCGAAAAATTGAAGGAATTTAATTTTTATTCTGTAGTGATAAGGGATTACAAGAATTAGAAATAGTATAAATACACAGAAGCTAGAATAGCATGTTAATAATAATTGTTCTTCTATAAACAAACCTATAGTTTCTTTCCTGAGCTGATGAATATAAAATGAGAGAACAAGCATTTTGAAAATTGTTGCTTTTCTTCAAGCCTTACTGATAGTGTAAATTCTCAGTTACCATAACTTTGTGCTTATCTAAAAACATCTTTATGGTCTTTTCAGGAGGTATCATTTGTGTTTCTTTCTTGTAACCATTTTTCCTACCTAGAATATTTCCTAATTCCTTCAGCATTATCTTCTATCTCCTTGCATTCATCTGCCCTTCTGCCAACTCATATTCCATTAATGTCTGTCAGGGAATCGGTGTTGAGGGACAAATACAGAGAGCGCAGAACGGCCTCAGCAACTTGTTCAATAACTGAAATGTTGTCAATGATGCCAAGCTATATACTTTTTGTGTATTAGTTCACTCATTAGTGGATTAGAGAACTGCACTTCATTAGTGCACTTTCAGTCACTCATGACTTGGAATGTTTGTTTGACTGTTCTTTCTTCTAAAATAAAGGTTATGGAATGGTTTCATTTTGCATTTAATACTTACCTTTCCTAACATGTAAAGTTTCTTGCCTCTGCCTGACATGAGTTAGTCCCTGGCTGCTTGGATCTTCTTTCTTAATCATATTACTGTTCTCCTGCCCTGACCTAAATCTGCTGTACCTGTCTGGAATGCTTAATTGACCTAATTCCCCCACTGACTTTTTGATATTTTCTCCTACATAGGAGGTCCATTCTGATGTGATCAGCAAGTTTGCCTTCATCAAAATCCTTCCACTTTTTTTTTTTTTTGAGAATCCATATAAACTCATTCAGGTTGTATCTGTTGATTTTTATTTTTTTTGTTGTTGTTTTTTTGGTGTGTTTTAAAATGTGTTTTCTTTGTCTTTTGTGTATTATGCTTCCATAAGTAACTGCAGTCAGAATGATGAATGGGTGTAATGGCAGCAGAAATTACATATTTTTCTTAATATTTGTTGTTAAATAGCAGTGTATATAGTCACAATATTCCAGAATGGTTTCTTCTCTGCAATAACCCCTCTTCCCCCAGAGTTTTATTTCTTATTAGGCAACTGCCAACAGCATGATTGATTCCCCACAGTGTAGATAAACATGAACCCTGGCTTACAGACATTAGAAAATCAAGTTAGACATGATGTAACCAGTGGGGTAACGTGTTGCATGTACACTTTTTACCTTCTCTAGAAGGTAAAAAGTGTACACTCAAGTACACTGTTTGCTGTGCTTGAGGTCAGTACAAAGGGCAGGCAAAAGGTATAGATGATTGTGGATGGAAGGAGGACAGAAAAATACTAAAAAGAAGTTATGAGGAAAATATGACATAAATTGTAATAAGGAAGATAATGAAGCTACAAGAAGAGCAAGCTAGTATCAGAGTACCCTACAGTATGTTACAGTTCTATCTGTATTTTATCAACATGTAACTGGAAGATTATATAGAAATAGTATATATATATATATCTATAAAGTAAGTATTATATAGATTTGATACTTAAGGTGAGGTTAACAGAGTATGGTAGTGGTTCCTTGTAGCACTTCAGTTATCTCTTAAGGTGAAGCCCTTGTCATCAGTAGATCTTGCAGATAACTATTGTATTCTTACAGCTTTGTCATCTATTCCTAAGAATTCTAGGTCACCTCAGAAGGCAAGCTTACCTTGGGGTATCAGTATTTAGTACTAAAAGTGT